TCGAGATCACTTTGTCCAGGTGCCGGAGGAGGTAGCTGATCGGGATCATCAAGGATTTGCGGAGGAACATTGCCTTGTTGGCGAGACAGACGCAGCCATTGTTGATGGTTCTCACCTACATCCAATGTAGCACTCTCGTCATCCGTTTTGGGCGTGATTGGGCGCTCAGTCTGTTGCTTTCGGGAGTACAGTTGGCGATCTTGTTGCTGTTTCAGAGATACCCGACGTTTGCTTTTAGGTCTCCGGGTCGCCTCTGCGCCGCTTGAGTTATCTTCAAAGCTCTGGATCGATGCGCTGGTGACAGACTTGACAGCCCTCAGACTGCTTGATGCAGTCTTAGGCGGACCAGTGCGTCCATAGACAGACGACTCTACTTCGTCTGTATATGATGAATGTGCGCCACCGGCGTGCATTGTAAGATCGACAAGGTAATCTGCAATGTTGAATCCCGGCGGGCAAGAATAGCCCACACGGTCAAAATACTGCTGACAGGATGAGAAAGGTCCGGAATAGACAGTGCGTCCCTCGGCAAGAAGAACGAGTCGGTCAAAGAGAGCAACAATGTTCGAGCGAGGTTGGTGGATGGTGAAGATAACAGTGCGGTTGTACGTCTTGGCCAGTGTCACCAGACACTCAACCACATTGAACGCATTGTAGGCATCCAATCCACTGGTGGGCTCATCCAGGAACAGGATACTGGGGCTGGTGACTAGCTCACAAGCAATCCCGACTCGACGCTTCTCTCCACCGGAAATGCCACGGCCATTACCTTCTTCTGAGCCAATCAATTGATCCTTGATGTGGTAGATGCCAAGTTGCTTTTCGACCTCCAGGACTCTTTGCTCTTTAGCTGCCCGGCTCATGTCCCGGGGAAGTCTGAGTAGGGCGCTTGTCAAGATGGTCTCATGGACTGTCAAGGTGGCAAGCATTGTGTCTTCCTGGTCGACAAAGCCAACCATAGTTCTAAAGTCATTGTCGTCGATTTTCTCACCGTTGACATAAAAATCTCCATTCACTGAGCCACGCTTGTTCTTTCGTGCCAGGATATCGAGGAATGAAGTTTTCCCAGCACCAGATGCTCCCATAATGGCTGTAATCTGGCCTGGTATGGACGCACCTTGAATGCCTGAGAGAATCTCCTTTCCATTTAGAGTGTAAGACACATTGTCCCAGTACAAAGCTGCGGGGCGATAGTCTGCCAGGAGTTTGGCAGTTTCGTCGTCCGAATCATCCGAGAGAGACAGGCGACGATAACTGCGGCGCGCAGCACGACGGGACAGATACCAAACGACCAGAGTGACAGCAACCACGAATAGTGAACTTCCCGCAATAACGCCGGCAATGAGTGGCGTATTGATCTTCTTCACGGGGCGCTCATATCCAGGTTCGTCGGTTTTATACATGCACTCTCCTGAATCGCATGACAAGAAGATGCTAGGATCACCGAAGACACCCGCAATCAATCCATTCATTTGAGGCTCGGAAAAAACGCTCTTGGTACCCTCCAGGGTCGATTTAGTATCGAAAGTAGCCGGGCCCTTGATCAGTTGATCCAAGAAATCGCTCAGATCAATGGACCCGTTCTCGCCACAGAGGAAACGGCCCGGAATGCATTCGCATTGAAGGTGCTCACACCTGTAGTGAGTTGAATTAGAGCTGTAGTCTGTTTCCATGTTCCACTCGCAAGTGTCTAGGCCGCAATAGAATGATTCTTTCTGGTCCACCCAGAATTGGAAGCTACAAGTTTCATCCTCAGCTTTGCAAGAGAAAGTCACCTGGGGCTTGCGGCCATCAAGCTGTTTCAAGATCGCACGGTTGGTCACATCACACATTTGAAAGTTCTCCTTGACCGTGACGCCTTGCTTGTGACACACGCCCCCTTGATTTTCTGGCATCATCACGTTACAGGCATTATCCGAGTCACAGACATTGCAGTTGATGCCTTTCCAGCCATCCTTGCATTGACAGGTATTGGAATCACGCTGCGGTCTGTTCAAGTCATCGGCTAATGAACCGCATAGGGGAACCGAGCAGTCGTCTCCTCCAAATCCGGGGGGACAAGAGCATTTCCCGTTGAAGCTGTTGCAATCCGCAAAATGAGTACAGTTATAGTTGTCAAGCTGGCAGTTGAAGCAAGCCGGACACTCGGGGCATCCGGATGGCCGATCATCGAAGAGGGAATAGGATTGCATAGCAAGATTTGCTTCGGAAAATTCGCTCCATGCTGCAGCAGATCCCAGTAGGGGATTTAATGTGAGAATTGAAAGAGATACTGCTCCAGTCAAGCGCATTTTGCGGTCAGGATAGCAGCAGCGTGTCCTAATGTGTTGTACGCAGTGATACCAACAACTGAGGAAGGGATGCAGGGCAAGCCGCCGAATGTATCCAATTAGAGTATCAAACTAGAGCATGCAGTTGAAATAAAAGATAGAAACAAAGTGGCAACTTTGAAGGTTGAGACGCAAAAAGCGGAGAGAGAGGGTGAGGTTGGCCCCAAGACGATGACGCGGGCGGAGAAGCGAGAGGCTGGGCTACATCTCAGGAACCCGTGGGTGACCCGGTGGACGACCTTGCGCTATACAAGCTTGACCTAAGATCTTCTTTCTACAGCAGCTTTAACCAGATCCTTGAATTTCAATCTTTCCCACGAATAAGAAATTTTCTGTGCCACTTTTAACTGGCTGCCAAGGTGGTTCTGCCTTCAATGCAGACAAACACATGCTGAGGGACATTTACATTGTCGACCAATTTAGTGACGAAGGACCTCAAATGTTCGAGGTCATTCATATCCAGCGGTATTTATCCTGATTGAAAGAGTCGAATTTTTACTTCGTTCCACGACACAAATTCAGATCTCCAACACAGCATCCGGTTAGCGCTTGTAGATTAATGCTCATCAGCCCGACTAGATCTGCCTAGTTACATCGGAGTTCAAGGGCGTCGTTCATTCAGTGGATGGCACAGCCATGTGATTGACCAGCTGGGAACTGAGCTTTTGGCGTTTCCTACTGCAGCAGGTGGTGAACCTCCCCGCTGAGACCTATTTGACCAGCCCAAATGAATCACAATCATTCATCTTGCTGCCCCTGCTAGGGCTGAAAGTGTCACATCACTGTCCTAACTGGCCTAGTTTGGGGGATTTCACATGTGCCCGTTTGATGGCTTTAAATCGAGTGTCTACACAACTTGATAAATTGATAAACCTCGGGTATTTAGCTATAGTGAAGTAGCTTACTACACACAAGTAGAAGGCCTGCAGGGTCTTTCACAGTCTCTTCGATGATACCAGACTGTCTAAACTCTACGCTCGCCACTCAGCACGAGCATGCTAGTCAAGCTACTGCCCCAGAAAAGATCGAAATTTAAGTGAACAGATCGAGGCTGTCACTAAGACAATGGATACCAAAGGGATTGCTCTAGAGAACACTCGCCGTTAGTAGCATGGCCACAGTGGCGGTTTAGCACCTGATTATTTTGATCATCCTTCAGGCTTCTATAGAAAAAGATTTCGAGCCCGAGCTTCTAAGGGGCGTCGAGATCCATGCCTGTCTTCCGTCTAGAGTTTTCCTTTCCCATAGGAACATGCCGAAGAAAGGGCAAAGATCTGCATGGAGCTTAAAGAGGCACACAAATGCACAGCAGTCGGTGAATATGGCTCTGGAATGTCCCACCTTAATGAGGGCTTCCGCACTAGGGACTAAAAAGCTTTCCATTCCACCCACAAGACGTGAGACCGGGCAAAGCTCCCTAGGTTGAACATTGCAAGGGTTCCTTTTTGGCTGTCGCGATCCCAATAACACGAGAGCGGAGTGGCTAGCAGTGAACGGTATGGCTCATCCCCGAAGAGATGAGCAGAATGAATGCGACAGCTCGTTGAGAGGTCTTCATGACTCATCCCGCACGCTCCCTTGGGTGGCACCTGATGCGGAACGATGGTGCGGACCATTTGGGCCTAGTAAATTGGACGTTCCTACTTTTGAAACCATTCACGGCATCAGTGACCAGCGGCCACTCCTCAATAACAAAGAGTTACTGTTCTGGCAGTAACTCAGTAATCGCCTCTGTTTTAAGCATCATCTGGAAAGCACTGAACATCACCATTGTACGTTTTTGGAGAGATTCACCCTCTATCAAATTGAAGACGGATACAATTATAACAAAAAAAAGATGTTCAAATGAAAAAAAAAACCAGTTCTTGCCGAGTTCAGGTTCACAACCAATTCATCTGAGCTTGCGCGCGTTTCAGCGGCGTGGCATCCTTGCTTCCTTCCAGGGTTACAAGATTGATTTGGGATGATTGTTTCCTATTGAGTAGAACCACTCCATTCATCCTAAATGGAGGACAACTGCTAAGACCATTCGAATGAATCTAAATGTCCGACAGTGGACTGGTCTCAAATAGTGGCGGATCTAGAACCAACACCGCTAGACATCTGAACCCCGCTACAGTCATGGTGGAGCTTCTCAAGACATCTCACCGGGGGTTTCACCATAACAAACCAGCAAATCCAGAGAACACTTGTATCCTTTGCTAAATCGATTAGAACCACGAGGCATGAGGAGCAAACCTCTGTGGAGACATCAAAAAGGACATCCAACAGAAACCAAACAGTGGCATTGACAATGTTCTTCTCACAAAGGAGATTAGAGATGATGCCGGTAAAAACCCGTCAAATGGGCACGCCCTTTAATTTCAGTTCGATACATACATGTGGGTATGTAGTATCTGGGTTCTAGATCCTTAGTTTTATCTATTTAAGAACTATATGATATATAATAACTAGTAATGACCTCGATATATTTTTACAAACTCAGGATCCGGTAACTACCATCACGTGACAGCACAGACCCAGCCCTGGAGCCAAGGAACTCTTGTGTAAAAGCTGTGGTAGCACAGCGAGAGACCCAAGTTGCTACCATTCAGCTAAACCTTGGAACGCTCCTGGACAAAGAAATTCTGTTGTAGCCTCTTCGCTTGGTAATGCTTACTGTTCTCCGCCATGGTGAAGATTGAAGCCTTCGCGGTTGAACAGGTACCTCCCCGCACTACCCCATGACTCGGTGGTGTTTGTCTGTTTCCTGTTCACAGGTTTTGTTGCAGACGTCCACTACTAATCTGTCTGCAGTGGATGGACAGTTATGAGACCACTGCCAAATATAATACCGCCGAGACCTGCTGTGCATCCATTTCTGTTGACGACCTTCACGCGCTCTCCGATGACAAGGAGTCCGATCCTTTCGCCCAGTTCCAATCCACCAAACTTACGTATGGGACAATCCGTGGCTCCAATCAACTGCGAAACATATTGGCAAATCTGTACTCGGTGAGGGCACCAACACAGTTGCCGAAGGATAATATCTTGATCACACCTGGCGCAATTTAAGCGAACTTCTTGCTCCTATATACGTTGGTTGGCCCTGGAGACCATGTCATCTGCCACTATCCAACATGTCAGCAACTGTTCTCCGTTCCTGCATCACTGGGGGCCGAAGTCAGCCTATGGAAGTCTAATGAGGCTCGTGGATGGCAGCTGGAAATTGAAGAGCCGAAAGGCATTATCCGCCCCAATACGAAGTTGATCATCATAAAGTATGTCTGAGTCGTGTTGCAACCATACAAGGCGTGCGTTTTTCTCTCTGACCATCATGCTCGCCATAGTAACCCGCAAAACCCAACTGGAGCTGTCATCCCGCGCTCGACACTTGAACAATTAGTCGATATTGCCCGCGAGAAATCCATCATAATCCACTCCGACGAGGTTTATCGCCCACTTTTCCATAACATCAGTCCCGCGGATCCGAGATTCCCACCGACACTTCTTTCAATGGGATACGAACACACCGTGGTGACAGGATCTGTTTCCAAAGCCTACAGCCTGGCCGGCTTACGGGTCGGTTGGATTGCGTCGCGGGATAGTTCGATCATCGAATCTCTTGCTAATGCCCGAGATTAACTATCTCGGTCGGGCAAATTGATGAGGCAATTGCCAGTTTTGCATTAGCACCGGATTGCATCCACAACCTTCTAAAGCGAAATCTCGATCTAGCACGGACTAATCTCTCTATTCTAGAGAAGTTTATCGATTTCTCATCGCTGGGCGTGCGAGTGGGTCAAGCTGCAAGCCGGTACCACTGCATTTGTACGCTTTAACAAGATGGGGAAACCCGTAGACGATGTCGCTTTCTGCGAGATGCTTCAGGAACGGACTGGTGTAATGCGTGTGCCGGGAAGTCTTTGCTTTGGAGTTGGAGAAGACTTCAAAGGTTATGTTCGCATTGGGTATGTCAATGAAACCGAGGTGCTGGAGCAGGGGTTGGATGCATTGGGTAAGTTCATGGAAGATGGGTATGAGGATGTCCCAGTGAAGAAGCCGGTGGCAAAGTGATAGGGAATTCCGGCCCCCCCCAAAAAAACAATCCGGATGCTTCGGACAAGCCAGATAGTGCATAAAAACTAGAGCCTTAATCTCCAAAAAAGAGCGGGGTGAGGATTGCAGTTAAACTGAACCCATGTATACAAAAGAATCAGAGAACTCTTAGAATCAGCCGATTGCTATAAAATGAAGTTTTAAAAATTGTTGGAAAGACATCACTATCGAATACAATGTTAAATCCCAAGGTATTGGCAAGCGCGCGTTACACAATGTGTCAGGGGAGCGGCACATCCGTGCCGAGGCACGTTGCGATCTCTTCCTCTTCCAATCTCCCCAATTTCACTGAATAACGTGGACCTTTATCACTTTTGACTAATCATTTCCCAACATAAAGATAACGAAACCGAGGTGTCAGTCTAGGAGCCCCAATACCAGTTCTTTGTTTTTTTCTCCCAAAGCTGCATTCAAAGCTGTTAGTTATAAGGGGCGACCTTATTCTCTACCTAAGTATCATACTCCTCGGTCATACTTCTCAGTCGTACACTCCTTGATCAAACTCACTTGGGATCAGTCCTTCAATCTACTTGATCACAATGCCGCTGCCATCTTTGCCCGGTAGGTCATGATATACGGCGGGGCTGGATGCATGGCTAACAAGCTGTCTCTTTGCGCAGATATCCCCTTGAGTCTTGCACTCCCTGCCGCAGCAACCACACTTGCATACCTCAATGCAAGATGGTCGGTCTACTACGATTTGAATCTTCTCAAGGGGTTGTTGAAGTTGACGGTGAAGTCCCACGTTGCCGAACGTGGCGACCGCTTGAACCTCTTTTACACACTTGAATCCTATGCACTCGATCCAAAAACTGCAGACAACGATTTTATTGTGTATAATGGACGAAAAACGACGTTTCACGAAGCTTACATTACGGCCCTTCGCTACGGAGCGTGGTTTAAGAATGTCCACGGCATCAAGAGCAAGGAGATCGTCGCGATTGACTTCATGAATTCCTCCACCTTCGTATTCATGTTGCTGGGACTTTGGAGCATCGGAGCTGTCCCTGCATTTATCAACTATAACTTGTCTGGCAAGCCACTCACCCACTCTATTCGAACCTCCACTGCGAGGCTCTTGGTGGTTGACGAAGACGTCCGCCACTGCTTCCCAGCGGAGCAACTGGAGATTTTGACATCCCCAAGCTTCCGTGACGGCAAGGGGCCGGTTGAGATCGTGTTTCATACTGCGGAAGTCGAAGCGCAGATTTTGGGGATGGAGCCTACTCGGGAGGATGACAAGGTCCGCAGCGGCTTGATCCCTCGCGATATGGCTATCTTGATTTACACAAGTGGCACCACCGGGCTTCCCAAACCCGCTATTGTCAGTTGGAAGAAGTGCTGGTCTGGTGGCCTGTTCGTTAGAGATTGGTTGAACATTACTTCCTCTGATAGGTTCTTCACGGTACGGCGTACCAAATTTACAAATGGCATTGTTTAAGCTAACTGTTTGACTAGTGCATGCCTCTCTATCATAGTTCTGCCTCAGTGCTTGGCTGTATAACCTGCTTGATGAGTGGATCTACCCTGATTATTGGCCGCCGGTTCTCTGCACGCAACTTCATCAAGGAGGCCCGTGAGAATGATGCGACAATCATCCAATATGTGGGCGAGACATTGCGTTATCTATTGGGCGTGGCACCTGAAGTTGACCCGGTGACCGGCGAAGACCTGGATAAGAAGCACAAAATCCGCCTGGCTTTTGGAAATGGACTCCGCCCTGACATCTGGAACCGCTTCAAAGAGCGCTTTAACATTCCCACAATCGCTGAATTTTACGCCGCTACCGAAGGCACTACTGGCGCGTGGAATATCTCGTCAAATGACTTCTCCGCAGGTGCCATCGGTCGAAACGGTGCTTTGGGAAATTTTGTTCTTGGTCGTGGCTCTGCTATTGTGGATGTTGATCACGAGACCGAGGAACCGTGGCGTGATCCTAAGACTGGTCTCTGCAAAAGTGTCCCTCGAGGGGATCCCGGTGAGTTGCTGTTCGCCATTGATGCAGCAGATCCCACTGCCAATTTCCAGGGCTACTTCGGGAATAAGAAGGCGACAGAAGGCAAAATAATCCGTGATGTACTCAAGAAGGGCGATGCCTATTTCCGGACCGGTGACATGATTCGATGGGACAAAGACGGCCGCTGGTTCTTCTCGGATCGACTGGGTGATACCTTCCGGTGGAAGAGCGAGAATGTGTCCACCAGCGAGGTTTCTGAGGTTCTGGGCGCGCATTCTGAAGTGCATGAAGCCAACGTTTACGGTGTGACTCTTCCTAATCATGATGGTCGTGCCGGATGTGCAGCTATCATCTTCAACAAGCAGATGGCAAACGGTAACCTTTCCGATTCCGCACTAGAGCCCTCGCGCGAGGTGCTTGATACTCTGGCTGCACACGCTCTCAAGAACCTGCCTCGGTTTGCGGTTCCGCTGTTTTTGCGGGTCACGCCTGTGACACAGTCGACCGGTAATAACAAGCAACAGAAGCATGTTCTCCGCACTGAAGGCGTGGATCCAGCTCTCGTATCGGAGAAGGACCGACTTTACTGGCTCCAGGATAAAACCTATGTCCCCTTTGGACAGAGAGACTGGGAACGGTTGACTGGTGGTCAGGTTCGACTTTGATCTGCTTTCCTTGAATTTTGTTGGGTTTTGCGTGTCTCCTTCTACTTTTCCTACTACACAAATATCCTTTTTCGGTTCTGTGACATCATTATCTCTATCCTCCTTTTACCTTAAGATACCCTCCACAGCCCTCAACTCGACCTATACGCCCATTGGGGTTGGCTTAATATCACTGGACTGAAGCTTACACGTAGGACTCATAAGATTTGTCGGCCTATAGAGGGCTTTGCTTTATGAAAACTAGGGACCACAAATAATTGACTTGATATTCGTCTCCCGAGCTGACTCCCAAACCTTACTTAGTAGGCCATGACGTAGAACCAGGATACCCAAAAAAATCAGCAGAGATGCCTCAAAGATTGAGGACGGTGTAGTTATACTTGGAAGGCACCACTCATTCCGAGCTAGGAAGGAAGGGACTGGCCCAGAGTAAGAGCATTCCTGAAACAAGTGAGTATACATGGAACTGTCGGTTCAGACATAGCAACCCCTCAACCCCCATAGCTCAGATGGGAAGCGCTCCGGGCAGGGCGATGTTAGGTTGCGAGTTCGAATCACAGCTAGGCCGGGTTGAAGAACTGTGAGTTACGGGCTGACGACAGGGAGTACACCAACCCCACCTTGAAAAGGGGGCTCTCTGATGCCTCAAATCCACTGAGCGAGGCGCGTCCTAGACAACGAGGAAACTGTCCCTAGCCTAGCTGTGTGAAGGACCTTCTGGGGCCATGTTTTTTTTTTTAGAATACTCTTTTGGTGATCTTTGAAGCTATTCACTACTATTGACCCACCACAGCCCCACTATGGCCCCACCTCCACAACTTAACTTTCAAGCTTCGCGCTTTTTGTTCTCATGTTTTTACGCCATCCTCTGCAATTTCTGTGAAAAGTCGTAGAGTTTTTTCTTTTTTTTTAAAAAAAAAGTAAAATTATGTGTTGGTTACAATTGACTTCTCTCAAAATTCCAGGTAAGTATTATCGGCAATTTCCTTCTCTCTCTAGGCCTCAGACACCTTGTCACTCTGGACTAAACCGTTGAAGGTGTCTAAAGGCGAATCAGCCTCGACAATCTTCCACACTTGCTCAATCTGTGCAGCGATATCTGCACTAAGAGGACCCTTGCTCAGCGCCGCAAGCGTCTGCTTCAACTGCTCAACATTCCGCGAGCCAACAATCACACCGTCTCCGAGTTCTTCTTTGAGGATCGAGTTATACGCCACCCATCGATATGCCAGCTCAGCCTTGGAGATGCCAGAATCCTTGGAGATTTTCTCCCATTGTTCCAGCCCCTTCAGCATGTCAGGTTTATTGAAAAGCGAATTGTAGAGTCCACCATATAGTGAGTTTGGATCCCATCGACCCTCACCGCCGGAGACCAATGTCGCTACATCCTTGGTCAGGAACCCTCCTGCGATGGGTGAATAAGCATAGAAAGAGATGTTATGCTTCCGCAGCGTAGGGAAGATCAATTTTTCGCCTCGGCGTGCAACGGCGGAGTAGTTGCCCTGGTAGACACTTGGCACGACGTAATTCTTTTCACGACAGATGCGGATCACCTCTTCGATCTCCTCCGCTAGATAGTTGGACAGCCCAAAACGCTTGAACTTTCCAGCCTGGTATGAAGCGTTGATACTGGCCAGCAGGTCTTCGGTTGAGCTTCTGCGATCGGGGGCATGCATGTAATAGACATCAAGCTAGGAATGGTATTAGAGATAAGGTCTTCATAGGATCGGGTTATGTGAAGCTCACCTGATCTGTTTGAAGACGGGCCAAGCTCTCATTCAAGGTTGCAACAAGAGACTCTGGGCTGGAAGCCTCAGCTGAAAGCCCACCAGGATATTTTGAATCAATGGTAAAGCGGGAATCAGCGTGAACCTTTCCCAATAGCTCCTCGGATTTATCGTAGATCTTGGCAGTATCGAGGGTTTTGATGCCATTGGCTTGGAGAACATCGAGGACCTCGTTGACGGATTCAGGAGTCGGGTATGAGGTGTCATACATGAGTGAGCCTGCGCCCCAGATGATTTTGATGCCAGCCATGATAGATAGTTGTCGAAGACTGAGAGGACAGGGAAGTTGAATATCTCACAAACACTGAGAGGCGAAGATTAATGTCCTATGAATATTCCACGGTCCCTTCCCAACTTATCCGAGGGAGCTTTATAATCAAAATCTTTACGAAGTATAGAAATCGTCATTGTTCTACCAGATCTCTGATGGATTAACAATCACGGCATCACTTCTGCCCGTGTCTCACTTTCCATGTGCTCGGAGTTCCGAGTTCCGGACTCACTTCGGAACACAATAGTTAGTGATGTGGACCTTTAACATGTACATCACAGTTTATGTAGGATTCTCGGTTGCCGTGCCAAGCGCCCAACACACACCGCTGTGTTGGTGCGCCCCACTACTCTACTTGGTCAGAATTCTGTCGATGTGGATCCTGCCGATCCTTGCAGAACTAGTAATTTTGATGTTTTATCTCAACCCAATGCTGTATTTTTCCTACCAAACCAGTTGCAACTTGGTCTGTGTCGTATATGCAATACACCCCGCTAGCAAAAATTAGTGTGGTATTGACAGATCCACATTGGCAGAACATTGACTACAACATATCTTGACTAGCCCCTACGGATTAGTATTCTTCCGCACAGAAACTTATTCTTGCCAAGAGGAGATTATTCCGAATCCTGTGGGATCGATCCTGCATGGATACTCCCTAGGATCGTTTGTGTGTCACGATGATGACTCCAAGGGACTTCCGAAACTCTTACTCCTGGATGTATAAAGAACGTTGCAACTGAGGATCCTGAGGCACCAACTAGGGCCTGAGGTTGCAGAGGATACTTACCCTTTACGATTCGCCACTATGTTGTAGAGTTATGATTACGGGGTTAACAAGATTGATGCTAAGTTTATTAATAATCACAAGTAAAGTAAACCCCGTTCCGAAAAGGTGAAATGGGATATTTAACGAAGTGTACAAGTAAGTGTGCTTCTATCCTAATAGCTTAATCTAGTTAACAAGAGTTTAATGAAGTCTTTATTATATACGAAGTAAATTAGCTTTAAATAAGCCAAAAAAACTGGAGACCACTTATTAGGACTAGAGGTAATATCCTATCATCTATATATGCAAATAAGATAGACTGGATGCCGATTCTAGGAAGTTAAAGTGGCTATAGGCAAAGTATACCAATGAGCTTCGGAAGTAAGGGTTCATTTAGAGGCTAAGTGTGAAGCTTCAGTGGCGGGAAATGGTGTATATATAGTCATGGGTGGTTACCTACAATTGCTATTTTCATAGGTGAAGAAATTGGAATTGGGTCCTATGGTGAAAAATGGCTATCTAATGGGGTGTACCAACCTCTAGAATGGGTGGTTAGGCGCTTGGAACGGTTACCCATCCCGCTACGGAGCATGAAGATCAACAATCAACAATGGCAAAGACTCGGCCAACTACTCCGTACTCTTGTATCTACTATAGGCACAAGGCTGGGAACTATGCTACTTAGCAAATCGAAATCAAACAAGCTCTGTCGTCTATCCAAATTGAGAAGAAAACAGTACAACTTTGTCATTAGTCCGCCCCCGCGTACTAGCGCGAACCCGACCGGGCGCAGATCGCAGTTTCGCCATGTCTCGGCATCTCCGCTCAGACGCTTCCTCGGTAGCCTCGGCCTTTTTGTCGCGCTTCCAATCCCTGGGACCACAAACCCGTACGCAAACGATCGATGGAAACCAGCTTCAGCTTCTCACCCTTACACTAAATCGCCCGCCTCTCTTCCCCGGTGCCTGCTCCCTGTCCAATTGTGCCTCCGCCCCGCAATCCGGGGTACCTGTACCGCCGGGGTACCACCTCGTATATTTCACACCCGCGTTTTTGGAAAGCGAACTTGGAGCAGATGGAACCGATACGGCATACAATCCTGATGTGCCCTTCACACGGCGTATGTGGGCAGGTGGCGAGGTGTTGTGGCCCCGTGTGGATGGGATGCCCAATCTGTTACGGGTAGGACAGCAAGTGCAGGAGACAACGCGGGTACTTAGTGCAGAGTCGAAGATTCTGAAAAAGACTGGCGAGGAAATAATTGTTGTTAGTATTGAGAAAGAATTCTCCAACGAGCACGGCGTGTCAATTATTGACCGACGGTCTGGCTTTCCCTTTCACGAGTCTCGCAGACCACAGTACTGACAGCAACATCAAAAAAGAAATTGGGTGTTTGGTAAAGCCCTACCGGTTCCGCCTGTATCGACATCATCCAGGGTCTCTCCCTCATCTTCAACATCCCATTTTGCGACCCCAAATCCTACCTCGCCCGTCATCTCCACCGAGGGCAATACCCACGCGCGAACCCTGGTGCAAACACCTGCGACACTCTTCCGATTCTCTGCTTTGACTTTTAATCCCCATAAGATTCACTACTCACTGCCCTGGGCGCGGGATGTAGAAGGACACAAGGATATCGCAGTACACGGTCCGTTGAATCTGATCTCCATTCTGGATCTTTGGCGTGACACTCGTCAGAATGCCACAGATTCTACTTTGGTTGTTCCCGAGCGCAGATTTTACCGGGCAACGAATCCATTATATGCCGGGGATGAGTATCGCATTGTGCTTGAGGAGGGCGAAGGAACACAGGTGCAAATTATTGGGCCCGGAAGAGTAGTCGCCATGAAGGCCGAGATCCATTAAACTTACACTGTACAAATCAACAAAGACTAGATATAAAACCATGGTCACAGTATGTGAGGGTTATTCCTGATAGAAACAAAGTCCCAGGTGTTGGCGGGGCGTGTAGATCCCCCCCACGAGCTAGAGTCCACTTCTTTTTCCTTTTCTACCTGGAATGTTCCTATTTTCTGGGTATCAACTCATTATCTGCCGATCGCAATAAACATAATATTCATTGATAATAATGGACAAACCTCTGGACTCTACGGTGGAGACATCCGCCCCTAAAAAGCGAACACGGGTGCAATTTTCATGCACGGCGTGCAGGCATCGAAAGTAGGCTCATCGCACAACGTGCATACCTACATATCTACAGCTGCTAATCGAATGTAGATTGAAATGCTGCCGGAGCTACCCTTGCGCTAATTGCAAGAAGCGAGGCGAGGCCACATCATGCACCTATGTCGGGCGCGGGCCACGAGGCAAAGCCCAACATGGGCACACAAGCTCGACTCTAGTCCAGGACCGCTTGCACCATCTGGAGAATCTAGTAATGTCTCTTGCACACAAGCAGAGGTCTGATCCAGAAATCGAATTCAAAGCGATGAAATCAGAGAATCGGGATGCTAGCGTGATACGTTCACCGGGCAGGTCTGATCGTGACGCTGCGTTGACTCCGGCTGACACGGGCAAGCTATTCGTCAAAGATGAGGGAACTAGTTATGTTGACGGTGCGAATTGGCGCGCTATTCTTGAAGAGGTCCGTCTTGATCTGGTCATTGCTGCGCTCTGAGATGATTGTGCTGACGGGCTTCAAATCCGAAGATTAATGACATGAAGGAATATTTAGACACGGATGGAGAAGATTACGATGATGAAGGTGTCGAGATTGACCCGTACGATGACTCGTCACCAGTTCTGCTGCTTGGCCATGGTCGTCCTGTGAGCAAAGAGGAGATGCTTATGGACATTCCCCCACGGCCATTAGCTGATCGCCTGGTCTCTCGATTCCTCAAGACGTCTGAACCGGCAAGAGGTATGGGATTTCTCGTATGAAACAACGGGAGCCGATTACTGATAACCCAGCAGTGTCAATCCATGTTCCCACGTTTCAGAAAGAGTATGAGGAGTTCTGGCTTCGCCCAGCAGATAAATCATTCACTTGGATTTCTCTCTTGTATTCGATTATGGCCTTGTCTATCTCTCTATATGATCGAAGTCCAGAGCCATTGCATTCTAATATGGCGGTCCCTACTACAACATGGGCCATGTTCCGGAAAAGGTCCTCGCAGTGCCTCATCCAAGCAAACTACATAACCCCAGGACGATACAAGGGAGAAGCATTATTCCTTTACTCAATCATCGAATTCTACCGCAATCAGGATACGCATATTGGCATGTCATATTTGCTCGGGATGACTATTCGCCTGACGATGCGTATGGGTTACCATCGTGATCCACGTCATTACCCAATGTTATCTGCCTTGGATGGGGAAATGCGCCGGCGTCTCTGGGCCTTGCTTGTTCAGCTCGACACTTTAGTCTCATTCCAAGCCGGCGTCCCTCGAACAATCCAGCCTTGGCAATATGACACAGAGTTGCCGTCTAACTTGTTGGACACCGACTTCGACGAGAGTTCCGTCCAACTGCCACCCGCCAGACCAATGACGGAAGGAACAGATTGCTCGTACACAAGGTCCAAATCTCTCATTATGAGTGTCTTTGGTCATATAACCGACCTGGCATTCTCTCGAGAGCAATCGTCCTACGAGGAGACCTTGGAAATTGACCGTCGTTTGGAGACTGCGCATGGTATGGTACCCTCCTGCTTGAAAATCCGCCCAATGACGCAGTGTATTGCAGACCCAGCAGAAATGACCATGCGGCGCTTCGCCTTGGAGCTCCTGTATCAAACGGCACGTGTTGTCCTACATCGCCGGTATATCGCTGAAACCAATCCCAAATTCGCTTACTCGCGATCAGTCTGCTTGACCGCAGCTCGGGATGCGCTTCGATACTACACAGAGGTTTGGACCGAGTTCTTGCCCGGCGGTCAGTTGCACGCCGAGCGATACTTCCTCAACTCCCTCCAAAATTCTTTTCTACTCTCGGCAATGATCCTTTGTCTTGAGATGTCCCAGGATGCAGATCGTGGTGATGCTGCACGCCTCAAGCCCCAAGAACGAGCAGACTTCCTGCTTCTGTTGGAAAGCACCCATCGCATATTCATGGACTCCCGTCATCGGTCTGTAGACACTCAGCGAGCAGTAAATGCTTTGAACATTATGCTCAAGCGGGTAAAGAAAGGCGACTCTGGAAATTCCAGTTCAAATACTGGGCAATTAACGGCGCCCATGAATAGTAAGAGTAACTTTTCTCTTCTCACAAAGTCGCGCTAATCAGATTCCCAGAGGACACCTCCAACAAATCCACCGATGCAGTAGCCCTTGGTCAACACAGTTTAACATACATATCCAACATTGGCGGCTTGCAGCCCACAATACCTAATCCCGGCCAGACGCCGTCATACAATTCCCGGGGGGTCATTGAAGACATGCTTGATATACCCGCTCAACTCGACTGGGTAAGAGCCTCAGCTACATGTATGGATGCTTGTTACAATCGTAACTAATCCTTGATTTCTAGAATCTGTACGACAGTCACATCTCAGGAGGTCAAATGACCGATAACAACGCCTGGTACTCCGACGATCCAGCGACGGTGGCATATGGGTTTGGTCCGTATCAAAGCTACCAACAATGACGATGGTGAAATATATGTATCTCTTCAATATCATGAACGTACCTCGATTCACTAACCCACCAAGGTGCTTACAATGTTGAACTAGATCAATTGACGAACAAGACCTAAGACACACCCATTTTGTCAATGCGAGCGTTTCGTAGAGCTAGTAGCTTACATATTGGAAAGAGAAGAGTTTACAGAGTGCAGATTCCATCAACCCAACCCCAGAGTATGCGCCTGGCCACTCCCTAACTCCTGCCGAGGCGGCCGCAGACTCCGCGGAGCGGAACCGGAGTTTTTCTTGTCTGGAACCATCACACTCCAAGAACGAACCTCTGTTTATCTTCGATCTTTATAAAAGCACCCTCTTCAATGCGATCCTTCCGCACCTTGCGACTTCCAAGTCGTGCAATTCTGCCCTTCCAGCACCAAAATGTGTGCCCAGTCTCCCACCAACTCAAAACAAGCATCCGGACAATAAACACAACACATCGACCAAGTCTGCGCCGACCTCTACACCCAAGCAGTGGCTCCAAAACCACTACACGATCCTTCGGCCTGCCCGATCTATCCTCCTTCCTCCCCAATAGCAACAATAAGAACAACTCCCCACATCGCGTCCTAACCGCCACCCGCAACCTCCCCTACAACCCAGCACTGCTATACAAAGTGATCTCCTCAGTCGAATCCTACAGCCAATTCCTTCCATTCCTCACCGCCTCGACTGTGACAGCACGGGATCCGGAAACAGGGTACCCAACACAAGCATTCCTGACAGTCGGCTACGGTCCGCTCAGCGAGACATTCACGTCGCGCGTGATCTGCGACGTAGAGAAGCTGACGGTGGAGGCCAAGAGCGGGGCGAACTATGGCAAAGAGGGTCATGATGGTCAGGCTGGTAAGAGTTCTTCTTCGTCCGGGCTAAGCGGGTTCTTCCCCGGCGCGAATGAGGGTCTCTTCGAGTACCTGACTACGAGGTGGGAGCTGGTGCCGCTTTCACCTGGGGCGCAGGGTGGGCCGTTGACCAAGGTCAAATTGGAGGTGCGGTTTGAGTTTCGCTCGCAGATGCATGCTACTCTTATGAGTGCTGTTGAGGGACAGATGGCTGGGGTTATGATAGAGGCTTTTGAGAAGCGGATTCGGGAGGTTGAGGGTAAGAGGCAGTGAAAGGAGTGCCGATTTGTAGATCGGAGTGTAAATTAGCAGGGTTTTTGTCTCCGGGCATTAATTGCAGGTATGACAACCATACAAGACTTAGACTTGCATCTCTTCGACTCTTGACGGCAGAAGGGAAATGAAGAGCATCGCCAATTTGATTCTATTGGATGGATCGCTGTACATGCTCAACCAGAAGCCTGTGAGAAAGAGCATTGGAAACCAAAAAAAAACATGATAGTATATAATACAGATTGTCCAGACACTGAAATGATTTTCATCTTAAAGCATGCTCATACTCCGATGACGGTTGATGGAGCTGCGCGAGTTCTTCATCGAGCCGACAGCATTGTAGTTGTCGAAGACCACATCCCAGTTAATCCGATCCCACCAGCGCTCGAGATACTCATCCTTGCCGGCAATACCGTAGTCCATCATCCACGCGTGCTCCCAAGTGTTTACACAGAGAATGGGCTGCACATCCACGGCGCCGGGCGCGAGGCTCTTCTGGTTTTGGGCGTGGGCGCCCATTGAACCGGCGAACTGGTTGCCTAGCTGGGTTTCTGGGGTGTGGGTGGCCATGTCGACGGGTTGCCGCCGAGAGTGGGCGGCCGGGTAGGGAGAGCCGGCGCTGTAGGTGCAGAAGATGTGCATCATGCCTTCGCGTTCGAGGTTCTTGGCGAGCCAGACAAATCCGGGGCCGAACATCGAGCTTGCTGTGGCCAGGAAATCCAACTTCAGGGACTCGACGGAAGAGCAGGTGTCGACGATGTCCTTGGCGAACTTTTCGGGGATGGCGGTGGCTGTGGGGGACTGTGTCGAGCAGAATAGTCAGCATTGACTGTCAAATACGAAGGGATTAATATTATTCCTGACCAGGCAGTTGAAGAAAAAGTGGTTGTTGTGGGCCATTGAGGCATAGTTGAACACCGAGGCCATCTCCGGACGCTTGGAGTATTTGACCAGCAATTCTCCTGGTTTGGCATCCGCATCGACGGTATCTGTTGAGTTCGAATGTCAGACACATCTTCCAATGTACCATATCGCTCAATCATCCAATTGGGGCCAAATTGGATCAATGTATCTTTCCACAGGATCGGGGTGTCGGGCTCACCTTGCGTCAACAAATTGAGTTTGTTAACGAGGAGGGTCTGGTATTGGGTCCAGGAGAAGTCGAACGCCTCAGGTGATAGGAACTCCGGAACTCCATTCTCCTTATAATAGGCGTCGTGCTGCAATTGGGGAATGCGATGAATAGCCCGAGTCTGGAAGCGTGAGAAGGCGGAGGTAGGTTTCTAGACAAAACGCGGTCAGTCAAGGCAGATTGGACGACGGAGGAAGCGAGTCTCACTGAGGAGAATGAGGAGGCTGCGCGCAAAGCGCTTTGCGGCCTGACGAATCGGTTGAACATGACGAGCGGCACTGTGAATGGTCGGGTTGATCGTACAGAGCTTCGATGTCGAAGAATTTCCCTCCCGGCTTTCTGCCCGATCGGGACTAGTGAACCTCCTGCACCAACAGCCAATCATGTCGTCTAAATCTACTTCATCTCTAAGCGCCTTGTACTCTTCTGCACCCTTTGGCCTTCACCCAATCCTCGTTCTGCAATTCCCTGGTCTGATTTGGTCCTGCAGTAAACACCTCATTTAGCGCCCATGTTGTTGCCATTTTAATCATGCGGATCACCCTGAAACAGCCCGGTAGCTATTTCAGGATCACGGCGCGTACATGTACTCTTTGTCTGCAAGGCCTTGGAGATGGCAGTGCTCAGGTGTCTTTCAAGTATGACATATCCTGGCTCTTTGACGGATTTCTTTTTGTTTCAGACTGAAGTCAATGCCCTTGTATTTTAGCTCTTTGCAACCCATCTCCGTCAATGTTTCCTCCAGTGTTGGTCTTTTGACTTGCGACTTGGCTTGCGTTATACCCTAAGATTCCGTCAAAGACACTATCAGCCTACACCTTCTGGGGAGACTCCTTTGAATTTGATCGTCAAACACTTCTGTCTTTCTCGGCCTACATACGCACTGCCAGTATGACGAGGCCACGGCCATCCGCTCTGTTGCTCTTGGCTCTGATGGCGAGCATCAGACCAGGACAAGCATATCAATCTTTCGACCTTCCATCCAGAAGCTCAGATGCGTGTTCCTCCTCATGCTCTTCAGGGTCCACCTGCATAAGTCTAGATCAGGGCAGCTCCTCCATCTGCTGTCCTGCCGGTCAAGACTGTGACTACATCTCGCCGATTACATGTGATATACAGCAGCAGAATGTTACTGCCTACCCCGAGAGTGTCATCAAAACTACTCGTCTGGGCGACATTCTTCCCAAGTGCGGTAATGAGTGCTGCCCGTTTGGCTACACCTGCCAAGGCAATACTTGTGCCCTGAATCAAAAAACCTCCACAACGGCAACAGCATCTGCATCCAGCTCCTCTGCCAGCACATCATCACCATCATCTGTATCTAGCTCTTCTACCAGCAAAGCAGACCCATCTGAATCCAGCTCCTCTATCAACACGGCATCATCAACGACAAAGGCTACAAGCTCAACAACCCCCCTGGCAACCATCACACCCGTGGCATCTCCATCATCTGAAAAATCCGCAACCCCTACGACATGCACAAAAGTATCAAGACCATGTCCCTCCTTCCCAGCCGGAGCTATAGCAGTAGGCTTCTTCCCAGGTGCTGTTTTTGGTGCCATCGCTGCCCTTTTAACAACTTTCTGCGTCCGACGGACCCGAAAAGACGAATGTGAGATACAAGAAGGCAAATCTGGGCCTAACTGGTCCCAGCGCTCTTCTTCCGGAGCAATATTGTGCATATCAAACCCCATACCCCAAGACGATACCTCCTACCGCACAGACTTCCTCCGAAGCCCACCGCGAGTCAAGCGCTCTTCTACAGGAGGACGCTCGACTCGCACGATGATCCACCGCACTGGCAGCAGAGTGCGAAGCCTATTCTCCAGTTATCCAAGACAAACCCCCCGACTAGACAACGATATGCCGCCTATCCCTATGCCAAACCCTACGGCACCAGCGCCGGCTCCGTTTACTCCGCCACGACAGCGTCAGCCTAGGACGGAAAGTATCAAGGTTTATTCACCTCCTGAGTCGTCTCTTTTGCAGTCTCGCAATTTTTTGGGGCCTGAGCCGTATCCTGGTGGTGCCGATAGACCGGATACTCTGTTTAGTGACCTGATGAAGGTTGTTGCGGTCCCTCATGTCGCCAAGGTGAAGGCACCTTTTCCGACTAACGATGATTCTCGTGAAAATCCGTTCAGGGATCCTGTGCGTTGATAGCTGAGGGGTCTGAAGCCTATGTTAGGTTGGGTTGAGCTGCATGCTCAGTCATTTTGGTTCAGACACTTGGTTGTTCTAGTGCATTGACCGTGTATCAATATATCCATATCTATTTTGCTTTGTACTTGTTTCGAGGATTGGCTTTCACATATGTAGATGCCCGATTAATTCTTCAGCTATTTCATATGCTTTTCCCCGCTTTAATATGTGCAAAATTTATTTTTTGGTGTATTATGTATGTCTAAAAAAGGATGTTGCATCTATCTAATAGATAGTTACTTAAGATATCCATGCATAGATACATCATCAGAAGGAAGAATAGCTTCCGAGGTTCAAGGGGTGTATTTAATATCTCCTAAAATACAGAATCGTCGAGATGATGTGTTACTCTACGATGCTGTCTTCTTCGCATTGTGTTGACCCGCAATTCTCTTGAGCTCTTTGAGTAGTCCAACAACAAGAGGGACACCAATTGGTCCTAGAAGTGGCAGATAAACTGCCACCTTATGCTCATCTGGGAAATAGACCTGACCCACCATACTCTTTTCAAAGAAGCTGCGCTCAGCTTCTGTCTCCGCGACTCGGGCGCTAGCAAGCGCAGCGCCGAAACGGCCCTCTCGCAAGTGGGCACAGGAGGCACCCAAATGAGATAATGTAGTGGAGACCGAAGTAGCCACGGTTGCCGGGATAGGGATGGAGGGTAAAGACTCAGTAAGACGGGCAAGCGAGCCCATTGTTGATGAGGCGGAGAGCAACAAGCTGGCCGCGCGAACGCGGATAGACGTCTGGAGACGTAGTGGAAGAGAGGCAGGGGTGCTTGGAGTGCCAAGGAGGGTGAGGAGTTGATGAGAGAATGTCATGAATGCAGGACCTAAAGAGTCCTGGAAGAGATGGGCAGGATTGGACGGGCCACCCTGCTCGGTATTGAAAAGCGGCGGGTTAAGGAGGAACACTCCGCCCCACTGAGGGACCATCCAACTAGAAGCATGGTTCTCCTTGACAATGAGTGGAGATTGCGAAGGGTCTGGGACATAGAGGATGAAATTGATCGTCGGGCCGTTGCCAATGCTCGGGTTCAGTGGCCACTCGGCAGCATTGACGAAGGCACTTAGACCTTCTGTCTTCAATGTCCATGCCGCCTCGGTTTCATCATACTCAGGCTTCGGCGCAGTGGGTGCAAAGTTCGCATAGAGCTGTACTTGCGTGTCGACAGTGAAATTGCTGATAGGAGAGAATGCCTGGAGGAGGGGGGAGACGTATTCGTTCACCGCAGCCTCAATGTCCCACGAGGAAGGTTCGGATCCGGGGGTAAACAGTGAAAAAGAGAGGTGATAGGTTTCAGCATATTTCATCGATCGGCGCAGTCTTCGGTCGATATCTTCGGCGAGTTGTGGTGAGGTCGAGTCAAGCCCAGCGGTATTTCCAGACAAGATGTGCGCTATAGTAGCCTTCTCCTCGCCATACAAGCGCTGAAGCTCCGCCGCAATGAAAGCGGAGAGGGGGGAGTTGGAGGAGGAAGGTACGGGGACCTGGCCCGGCGGGTAGAAGATGTCGAGTTGTGTCGTAGCTGCATGGAGCTCTGAGCGAGGACCTACTAGCCCATCTTGGGGCAGTAATCGGACGGTCAAAGCAATGTCCGCTGCCTCCTCCGCAAGATTTTTGATAGTTTCGAGGTTGTCTTCGCCAATTTGAACTGCCGTCGTGCTACCGTTGGTCAACTTAAGCCGAAGGTGATGAGCTGCGAACTCGTTGAGATCATCGAGAGTATGCTGAGTCGTGCGGAGGAGGTACTGTGCCTCGAAAAAGTTCATTGACGGTGTCGCAAGGTGAATTTCCAAAGGGAAAACTGGTCGGCACGCCTGACAAGACCATTATTAGCATCTGCCAAGTCCCCAAAGTCAAAGGCGATTCCGCATGCTGTACCTTGCCATCAGCCCAATCCACCATCTCCTTAATCGGAAGAGATGCCCGGTAGATTGATGTCGTCTTCCACCATATCGGAAATCCAAGGAAGATAATTACAGCCCAAAATGCTGCTATCACTTTAAATCGCGTTTGGAGGGCAGCCGGGGTTTCTGGGGGCGGAGTGCGCTTGACGCTGGGTTGGTCGACTTGAGAGGCCGAAGCCTGAGGAGACTCCTGCTCTCCTGTTTTAGTCGTCATGGTCGGGACATGCTTTGCGCTCTGAATCAGAGCAACAAAGAAGTAAGTGTTTATCCAAACGATTGTTGATTTGGGGAAGTTGATAGCCGGGCGGAGAAGCCTGGGACCACCTAAGTGGCCGCCGCATGGAGCAACACTATCAACCCAAGAACTATACTCCACGCGGCATTGGAATGGATGCACTTTTTTGGATCTGAATTTGTACTTGGGTCTTGTATTATTGAATTGGTTTACAGGTGCTATCTTTGTGCTTTACGGCTCGGAGCTCCGGAATTCGCATCGAATCTAGCCTTTTTCAAAGAGAGACCGTAGAAGCAGAGCCAAACGAGCCCAGGGTGTCATTATCTCGACTCGAAGAACTTTGAAAACACAAAAAACAAGGGTATATTGACCAGTAACGCCGATCCGATGTAGCAATCAAAAGGCCAGGCCTCCACCGCTGTACCTCCACATGCATTGTCTAGTATTCCTTCTCGAAGATCTTTTGAATCGGCTTAGCGGCCTAAAGGTCATGAAATTTGTTAGCAAACTCATCGGCAATAGACTTGTACAAGTCAAAAAACGCACATCAATGAACTTTTCGAGATCTTGGTCGAGGCTGGCAAGGTCGTTTTTTCTTTTCTTGTTCTCTGCGATCAAGCCCTGCTTGCGCTTCAAAAGCTCTTGTCGCGCTTGTTCCAGCTTCTCTCGTTCAGCATGCTCATGTTCGATGCGGGCGATCATGAGATCATGTTCGCTGGACTCGCGATATTCGGGATAAAGCTCCAAGAATTCCTCGACCGGGACCAAAGGAAGGGATAGGTATTTGTGACTACAGCAACTATGTCAGTTCTTCGCCACGGGGAAACGAGAGTGGTATGAATAGGAAATCAAATTCACATACTCATAGGCCTCGCAAGCCGCAATTTCGCCTGTCAGATGCTTCTGTTCATAGTACAAGTTCTGAAGCTGAAGATGCAGCCGGTCGATTTCTTGCCGGGCCTCTGCAGTTGAGTGCTTGGTGTCGCGCACGCGGAGGATAGCATCCCGATTCTGCCCGCGAAGTTGGGCCAACAGTGCGAACAAGAGTTTCTGTTGCTTAGAGGCGGCTAAAGACAATTCTCGAAGCTTGGCGCCATCGTTGGGTAGGGTATCGGGGTTTAAAATGGTGAGAAGATGCTGACACTGGACTAGAGTCTCGGCGCTCGTCTGGAGCACTGGTAAGAGCGACTCATCGGCGACGATTTCACTGATAGCCATAATGCTATTCGGGATGGATATGTGGCGAAGTACAAAGCCGAAGAGAAAAGCAGGCGGAATGGATCAATCAGGACGTTCGGGGCGGCAATGTGCCTCGGGAATTTTGTGTGGTTGGGGGCGGACTTGGCCCTTCCCCCCCTCCAGCCGCTATCCCATTTTACCGTCTTACTTTGTACATTCCACCATTCCCCTCCTTTTTTTTGGGTTTTTAGTCACTCTTATGAGCCCCTCATTCCTTGTCATTTGAAGTTCGTTTCAACCCAAGGGCTCTGTCTTGAGTTCTTTTCCGCCTCCCGGCTCCTCTCCGGAACCTCTCCGGAACCCTTGCCTCTCAACGATTATCGCTCAACATTCTCACTCTGTATGGCATTCGATTGAGGACGGGTGAACTCTCAACTACACCCCATGGCTTGCGGCACTTCTTCAATGGCGGTGGAGACTTATCCTGAGGCAGAGGCCTTCGCCTCTGCTACTGCGACCCCCGACGAGAATACTGGTATGCTCCGTGATCGGCGCCGACATTCGTTCCATGCTTCTAGAAAACTCTCGTGCGACCATCAAGATGCAGATGCCGTCTTCATCAGGGTAGGTGCATTCAATCTTGATGGAAAATACACCATGGAAACAGTGCGTCTAATCAAGTTCTAGGTCGAACTCTTCTTGTCCGAATTGGAACGTCGATTGCAATGGATCGAGCAATACCGGAAATCCCACATGATGCAGGTCGATGCCAGTCTAAAACGAGGCTACGCTATGCTGGAAGCCGTGAGAGACCAATGCTCCCTCGCCTCGGGGGAGTTGATGGGAAGTGGCAAAAAGCGTGCTAAGATTTTAGTCGAAACCCTCGAGGATGGATACAATGAAGCCTTGGTGACTAAGGAGACTCTGGAGCAAAAGGCGCAAGCCGGCGTGCGGTTAATGGAGTCATTCTTGGTAGAACTTGAGAACAAAGTGCATGCAGTTCGCGATCGTGGCATTTATGGCACTATAGATGACGGGTGGAAAGCGATGGATTCGGGCTTGGTTCATGCCCGGGAAATTGTCGACGAGGGCATGGAGCGTGCCCGCCGGACTCGCGATACTCTCAGGGATGCTGTCGAAGAGGCTATCCGACTAGCCAAAGAGAAGCGATTGATTAACTACGATGAACTGCCTCATCCATGGCGCGTCAACCCGCACATCATCAATGGCTACCGATTCACCACTTCCAAGGTGGAATGTGTCTCCTCGGTCTTCGCTTATTCAAATGAAATGTTCAACATTTGGTCCCATGTGATTGGTCTCGTCATCGTCCTAGCCGTCGCCTTTTACTTCTACCCGCTTCACACGAATTTCCATCTGAGCACCAAATCCGACGTCACAATCGCTGCCGTTTTCTTCTTTGCTGCCTGCAAATGTCTGGTTTGCAGCACTATTTGGCATACTATGAACAGCATTGCTTCGCAGTCATTGATGGAGCGATTCGCTTGTGTGGACTACACTGGAATTTCTATGCTGGTCGCTGCCTCGATTGTGACCACTGAATACACTGCTTTCTATTGTGAGCCCTTGTCCCGGTGGACATACATTCTGCTTACCATGTCACTGGGCGTCGGTGGCATTATTCTGCCATGGCACCCAACCTTCAACCGCCACGATATGGCTTGGGCCCGCGTGGGCTTCTACGTGACCCTTGCACTCACTGGTTTTTCGCCCATCGCTCAGCTCATTTATACACGTGGCTTCGCATGGACCATTTATTTCTACGCACCAGTCGTGAAGAGCGTCACGGTCTATTTTGTCGGTGCCTGTGTCTACGCCTCCAAGGTTCCTGAGCGCTGGAAGCCAGGTCTTTTTGATTACGTCGGTGGTAGCCATAATATCTGGCACCTGGCTGTTCTGGGTGGTATCCTTTTCCACTACCACGCCATGCAGGATTTGTTTGCAGGAGCCTTCCAACGGGCCCAGGGCGAGTGTCCGAATATGACGCTGTGAAACTCCCCTTCCAACATTCTCCCACGAATCTCTTTGCATCGTTGATTGCTCTCTTGCTTTTTTGCTCATGAACAAAATTCATAAAGCGCATGATTTCGCTCTTCAACACACAGCGATTAGACGTTTAGGCTCGCAGCTTGCTGCGAGTCACGACTTGCTATGCTCCCTTGCAATGAAATCTTCTCTTTTGACGGGAGATTTGTCACCGTTGATGCCCATTTTGCCTGCATGGATGGAGTTTGTCTTGATTTTCTTCTTCGATTCTTAGAGCATTGGCTTGTACATAACTCCGGTGTCTCTCTTATTTCTCCTATTGGCGCCACTCGATCTGTAAAGAAAAAGAGTGCGCAAAAAGATTTTGGTTATTCTGCATGTAATTTTGGGACTCTTGCTGGTACTTGGGAAATCTACATCTTGTGGACTGCCTCTGTCGGTATTTGGTTAAAACATACAAAGGCTTTAATTTCTACAAAATCCATTTTTTCCATCTCACAAATCGTCCCCTACTGTCAGCTGCGTCATCCATATGCTTATTCCCTCCTTCTGAATTCTGTTAAAGAGGGAATTACACGGCATCCTCCTAGGCCTATGTGAATAGGTAGAGTTGACCTTCTACATCAGAATTTTGCGATGGTTGTTAATATGGTAGGCATTGTTGCTTGACTACATTTGCATATTAAATGACATGGTCTAATGTGTGTGTCGTCGTACATTCATAACGCCATCATGAAGGCATTGCCCTATATCAGCAACCTAAACCATTCCCTCGCGGCGTTGAGGATGCTGCCCCAGCTTTTCCCACGGGAAATACCTCAACAGCATGGTGTCTTGATCCCCGCGTGATGAGGATTTGAGATACACCTTAAAGCACGGTGTTCAGTCCACGCATGGCGAAAATCGCGAGATCGCGGTTGGACTGTTGAGAAAGACTGTTGCAACCGTACTGGTTGATAGGCAAGAAAATTCTTATCTGTGGCTGAGACTTTGGTGAAGGCACACAGCCATCCTAAATAATCATCGCAGAGCTGGTGATTCAGGAGTTTACTGGGTGCTTTCGGTGGCAGCCTCGGTCTCAGTCTCAGCTCCACCGCGCTTCTGGAAGTTACCCTGCATCCAGCAACGGTACATCTTTTGTTTGGTGCCACGGTTAACAATCAACCGCCGATCGGCTCCCATTTTAAGGACCTCAAATGCTCCATTGTCCTTCGCCAGTTGTTTGGCCTCTGCAGATAGCTCGTCGGTCTTTTTCTCGGACACTTCTCCGGTGGGGTTCTCATCGCCAATGGGAATCTGCAAGCCGTTTTCTGCGCTCCAGGTACCCCACATGTCAACGAGTTGATCCTGGTCGAAGAAGTATACACGTGTGCCATCACCTCGAATATAGAAATTCTCGGCCATGTATCGACCCTTCTTGAATCGTACTTGGGCGAGGTCGCCACGGCCGTAGTCGCGGAACAACACACGGCCACCGGGCTTCAAGAGACGGTAGATATTGCGGATTGCTTGGTCCCATTGGTTAGGGGCCAGGGCGGAGAAGATGAAGATTAGAATGACAACATCAACCGAGCCTTCGGTCAGACCGGGCGGAAGAGAGTCGCCGTTCTCGTTAGGCACACCAGCTGCGTCCCAGACATCAGCGGACATGAATTTCTCGTTGTAGAGCTCGCTCTCGCGCATGACCTTGACAGCATACTTGGAAAAATCACAGGCATGAACCTTCAGGTGCTCATTCTCGTTGTTGGCCAGCAATGGGAAGGCAGTGTTTCCGGCTCCCGCGCCAACCTCCAGGACGACCTGGGGACCGGCGTCCTTCTGTGTCACTTCAGCAAGGATGGGGAATTCTTGGCGCAGCCATTTTCGATCCTTGAAGAAGTTGGCTGTGTTGTTCTTATAGAAAATGTCCCACCACTTGGCGGGATCGGTGTTGAATCGGTTGCGATCAAAGTCCGACACGCGTGTTTCGCGCTGTTTCGCATATTGGGTCTCGGCGAAGGCCTTGAACTCCTCGTCTGGCTCGACGTGATCCCATGCATTGAACTCGAAAACATCATCGCCCTTTTCAAGGTATCGCGAGCCGAATTGAAAGGGATCGGTCCGTTTCAGGTTGTTGGTGGGATCGTGGGAACGATGGGGGGCGACCTGGGGAGGCTCGACATTCTGTGTCACTTCCTGGATACTGGGATCGACTGTCATGATAGTGAATGAACTAAATCGTGCCAATTGATTCAAGATTTAGAATTAGGTGTTGAAAGAAAATCCGATCGCTCAAGTCAGTGATCGTCGAGGACAAGGCGGGGAGAACAAAAAAAAATCCAGGCGGCAACGCGATTGGCGGGGTGTTAAAATCATGTGACTGTATTTTGCCTACATGTTTTTTTTTCCCCTTCGACCCGCTTGACCTTTGAACCAATCAAAGGCTCTCAGCTTACGCACCGCCTCCTTTATCTTCGGATCTTATCTCCTATCGCTTATCGGTCTCTGTTTACCTTGTGCAGATGGACTTGCAACAACGACCGTAAGAAGTTTCACTGATAGATTAATAAGTTGTCCCTTCTCATGAAGCCTGAAGTTTTGTTCAAATTCTAATTGTATAGAGTAATCCAAGATAGTCCAAGTACTCAATGAATCGTGGGAAGTGCAGAAAAACACATAGATGTCCTAGGTGACAACTATATAGAAAAGTCCTCTGCACGGCTGATGTTTTCAACCATATACAAAGGCATTTAAAAAAGGCCATCACCCAAAAAAACCCCCAGGGCTAATATAAGCGGCTGACTATTCTAGTCATTCACAGATAAACAAAACTCGTCACGCAGATTTTTTTCTGATTAAAAGGTTTTTTTGTCAACATCTAATTGGCTATAGTGAGTCTTGTCTGTTTGGCTAGCATCTCATATGGTGAATTGACTCAGAGATAATAGAAGCTCAACTATGCCTCAGATGTTGGAAGCTTGCACATCATCTCGTTCACCATGATGCTCATCGGTGAAACCCGGCATTGTTCGGTACTTTATGACTTACCATATTGGATTTTAAGGCTGTCATTTTGAAAATTCTAACTTTTCATACACTGTAAGCCATCGCTACTTTCATCGAAACTGACAAGAGATGCTTTCAATGTGCGTGCCTCAGGCATTCATTATACCTTATCGGAAGCCAATTAAAGCTCTGCAAATCTCGATGCCCGCGGGTGCCTCATCCGAGTTAGCTCTGATCTCGTCTTTCTTTCGCCCCTCAATTTCTTCTTTACTTTCTCTGTATGAGCAAGTCCTTCTAGATTCATATCTGATTCTTCTTCTCCCTGTTTGTTCGGTTCAGGTCTGGGGTCCATCGACGCGAGTGGGGTTCAGCCCACTATAAGCGTTTGAGGCTCAACGGACGAACTGCTCATTCGATAGTTATCCAGAAGTGTTTCTTTTACAGATATCACGGGCTTGCCCTCGCCATAGCCAAATCACTATTAGCTTCAACACTGTCACCTAGGAAACAGATATCACGTCTCATTGAGTCATGTCTTTCCTCTCGGCACTCTGCGGGTGCTTCACGCGAGACGGGAACCCCTCTCAGCCCCATTCATCATCAGAGATAATGACCCAAAGACTCAACCCCAGTGGTTTCCAGACAGGAACCTTTACACTCTCCGGGGAAGGCGAATTTATCCGTCCAGCACCTCCAACTGGGGACCATCAGCACGGACCCCCACCACCTAACTCGGGGGATGGAGGCTATACCAGCGTGGTCCCTCTCCCGCTGTATACAGCTCGTCCATTGAGTCTCCACGAGAAGACTCTAGAAGCCCACATGCGTGACCCCTCTATTTCCTCCGAGTCTCAGAACTCCTACCCCAATGACGAAAAGAACGCCAATCGTTGCGACGAAGATCTCACCTCCGATAGTTCATCGGCCATTTCCTTTCCCAGCAGCTACGGCAATACTTCCACTGCAACGAGGGATACCCCACCACCACCATACTCCCCTCGTCACTCAGCCATGCTGAGTCGCTCGCGGACCATGTCCGTATCGTCCGCTATGGCGGTCATAATTAATCCGCCTCTCGCTGCCCGCATGAACAATTCGCGGACGGGACATACATACTCTGAGGAAGATAACCGGTCCATTCGTCGTCATCGGCGGGTCTCCTGGGAGAGCCGGTGATCCCTGATTCAAGCCTCCTTTTAATGATTGCGGAACGAACTTTGCTAGCTACCTTTTGCTTATCAGCTGCCTGTTTAATACTCTCCTACCTCGACCTTGTGGTTTGGGCGATCTGGAATCGTCCATGGTGGATTTGCTTTCTTTTCTGCATAACTACCGCATCGCTCTCCTTTCTGCTTATCGTTTTTCTTCTCATCCTTCTATTGCACATGACGCGACGACATCATTTATGGATACTGATTGAATGTTTATGACATGACTGGGACTTGGTGATAAAAAGGAATTTCTTTTGGGGTAGCTTTGGATACTTAATATTGACCTGCACACACTCGCCAGTCACGGATGTAGGAGGGCACTGGAGATCAATGGTTTCAAGGTTATCTTGGTACTCATCCACATCCTGGCCGGCATGGATAGGATGCCAACCACGATCAACCGAATGCATCATAGACATTGTGTCGAATTTTCTAGTCCCATCTGGCTTCGTCGCTACTAACACCTTCGACAAGATATACCTAGATAGTCAACCAATGAAAAATGGCATCACGGCAATGAATCCAAGATTTCAACCCACTTCACCCAAACCCACCTCAATCCAATTCAAGAACCCTAGCCCTTTCCTGCTCCTTGGCAAGATTGACCGAATGACCAGAGAAGCAATGAGAAATTGACCCAGAAGCTGAATTAAAAAAAAGACATCTACTTTCAGAAATTGATAAACCGAAGTGATTTACCAAGCCTAGGAAATTGGATTTGAGAAACGCCATGCAGTTCATCATTCATCGAAGATCATCCACCTATGCGCATCACTCATACTTCATACAGGATAACTTTTGCAGAGAGAACGAAAGGTCAGTTATGGCTGCATACTAAGAGTGGATTTAACCCATCTTGGCATTAGAGAAATCCATCTCTGCGAGAGTGCGTGTTAGCAACATGTTACACATGACAGAATGGGCCCCCGAGGCCATCTCTAGGGGACGGATTGCAGAAGTGATCAACAAGGGGGTACAGGAGACAGTAACGTACCGGGATGCTCAGCCTGGAATTTCTTCAGCAATTCCATCTTCCGTTGCTCATCACTACTGGGACCACCCATCTCCTTCTGTCGCTGATCATACATCATCTTTTCGACCATGGCGCGAGTCTCGCCATCCAGATCTCCTAGACTGGAGTTCTCGGGGGTAATCTTAGTGACATCGATTTTGGGAGCAGTGGTCACGACATGAGGCCACCATTCGACCTTGTTCACCTTGTCGAGGTGGATATTGATTTCCTTTCCGGGCGGGGTGGGGGTGGTCTCGAGGGTCCAAGCGGATTCGTCAACGAGAATGGCGTGGGGGAAGTCGCCCTACGTAGGGAAAAAAAAGGAGTAGTAGTTAGCTGAGCTGTCTTTGCGTTGATGTGTTGATTTGGAGTGTGCGGTGTAAATTCTCCGGGGGTGGGGAACGACATACCTCGATGAGGGGTTCTTGTCCCTTGATCGCGACGCGGATCTTATTCTTGGTCAACAGCACATCCAAGTCGCGACCCTTGAAATTGCTCGGGATCGGTGCTGTCACATCCACATCACGAATAGTCTGTGTCCACTGGTAGGGGAGCTGAGCCTGTTCGGCATCCTCGCGGGCTTTGCGCTCTTTGTTCTCACGTTCGCGGTCGGCTAGGTCGGCGGGAGATGGGTTTGGATCGAGATCGGCAGACATGATGGCAAATCAGAAAGAGAGATGATAGAGCCAGGGTGGTATGTGAGTCACGGTGTATATGTTGTATGTTGTATGTTGTATACGAAGTAATCCTTCCTTGAGCCCAAACAAAAGCCCAAAACGTAAAGAGGTGGAGCCCTGGGCTTTTTCTCCCTTGGCGCTTTTGCCGCCAGCCCTAATCGCCTGCATACTTTTTTTCTTTTTTTTTTGCTTTTTTTTTACACCGCGATCTCTCGACCATGAACTTGTACTCTCTGTCCGGAGGATGCCTCGTTGAGCTCCGGTGGACTGCAGAATCTGAAACAGAAGTATAGTGACACATGTCACCAAGTTGACGACCTTTCCACATCTTTCCACATCTTTCACCCGTGCATGTCTAGGTCATATGAGCCAGGACTGTGAAGGTCTCGACTCTTCCCACGGATTCCGGGGCTGGCAACACATTCGACACTGACTATGTTGTACACAAAGCAATAGTGTATTCCACTAGGAGCACTATTAGAGCACTTATAATGTCCGACCTTCCATCTCCACACCATAGCACCGACCCGGAAAAGCGCATTCCGGGACATAATGCCATAAACCCACAAGGGGAATGTACAGAAAAGTTGCGGTCCCAATGGGGAAGATCGTGTTGACTAACCGTTCAGACATGGGCGCGCAGCCCAGGTGAGAAGTGACCAACGCAAGCCCTAAAAGCACACCGCTTAGGATCACGCATTGTGGACATCGAGTGGTCTAAGATTGTTAGTGTAGGTCTCCTACCGTTTCGGGATAACCTACAGGGATGGCTGACTAGTTGTAGGTCGTTAGCGGCCATGATGTGCAGGGGCTGAAAATGAGATGATTGTCAATGCAGTTGACTCTGCAGTGCCCAAGTAAAATGTCCCCCCCCCCACACTTGAGGCTCTCTCTTTCTTTTTATCTTTTTATCTTTTTATCTTTTTATCTTTTTATCTTTTTATCTTTTTATCTTTTTTCTTTTTTCTTTTACATCACACCGAACGTCTCTTAGACGGAGATAAGGAGCTTGTAGTATTCTCATGTAGCCTTGTAAACAAAAAGCGAAGGACTCAGACTTCCAGGTATATTGTACTCCTCCCCCCAAAGAAAATAAACACCCTCTGATCCGATCCCCAATGCTCTCATCATCCGTAGAGAAAAAAGATCAAAAAATAAGCAAAACACCAGAAGCCTGGGTTCCAATAAAACCTCACAGCTACACGGGTTCCATAAGAGAGTGGCGTTGATCATCTCTGCTCGGTGTGCTCATCATTTGACGATCTCGCTAGCTCATCTTCTGTGATAGCTGTCAGTTCTCTCTCCTTTGCAGATATCAGAAAAGACTGTACCTCGAATCTTGTCAATCTGCCTTGCGGTATCTTGAAGCATCTGATCCCATTTCTTCTGGTACTCTTCAACGGTCGTAGGTTGGGATTCTGTCTTCTCTTGAGGTTCCTCCTTGGGGGTCTTGCTTTTGTCCATGGCGAATATGAAGGGAACTGTCGGAGAGAAATGGAATATAGTTCTCAACTCAAAGAGAGGCTTGAAGTCGGAAGTTGATCCAGGTCAAGGGGACGAGCAACAGCAAAGGCTTTATAGAATCGACAGAAATCCAATTCTCATTTAAAATCTCTAAGAAATCAGAGAGTTTGTCTTTTTTTTTTAAAAAAAAAACCATTTTTTTAACAAAAATCAACAAAAAATCAACAAAAATCCCACCCCCCCCCTGTCAGGTAAAATGTTTGCTTCGGAAAGAGACCGGTCACGCGTCGAGAGATCAAGGTGTTCACCGACATCTTTGGATCTTTCGGGAGCCCAAAATTGAAAATGGGACATCGGACCGCTTAGCCTTGGGAGAACAAATTTCGAACGTATTTTATTGGTGTAAAAAAGTATCAAAGTGACTGGACTGGTATGACGCCCGACTGTATAACGGGACCTAGCGTATGGTACTCCGTACTTCGTACTTAATTCCTACCTTCTGTACGGAGTATTCTGTACTCTGTGCTCTCGACGTACTCCATGGCTGTTATTCCAAATTCACCTGGTCTCCACTAAAAGGATGGCTTCCAGCGTACCGAAGTTGTCCCGCATCCAATCGGGGACGGTTAAATCACATCCGCGCCAACTGATCGGATATCTTAGGAGGCTGTAAAGGGGTGAAACGGAGTTGATACATCTCACAAAGAATCAGAATCAGCCAAAAAAAAAAGAAAGAAAGAAAGAAAACGAAAAACGAAAAAAGGGGCACCGGGGAAGCGGGTAGAATTGAAATTATTCCCAGTGATCGTCCGATCCACTCGAGTTGAAACTTTGCACTGCGATCTATAACGGAGTGCCGAGTACCCATATACTCCACTATCAGCATTGCCAGTCGACGTGTTTCTACGGAGAAACAGGCAACAAAGATACAGCCCCGAAGAATGACTTGCAATTCCAGGGGTAGATCGGAGGGCTCAGCCCGAGAGGGCTGAACGACACGGACCGCTTGACACCCTCTCAGATGACGGAGTACGGAGTTTGGACCAAGTACTCCGTAGAGCCCAACACTACCGGGAAGACCTCCACACCCTATTGGTCCAAATGGCTTATTCACCGCCGATAAAAGTCCCGTGCAGAGCCATAGACGTTGCATCTTGAGAAATCCACGTGGTGTGGATACACTAGCGCTGTGTCATGGCCGTTGTCCTTGACCGCATCCCTCGACCCATCTACGGGCCGACACGTTTTGAGGCGCTTTGGTACTTTTGGTGCTATGGTCGGGGTCACGTCAGATGATGAAACCGCAGTGGGATGTTCCTCGGGCACTAGGTTCGGGTATCTGATCGTGGGGGGTCTCTCAGTTGATCAGGGGGCTGTGCTTGTTCATCCCCCACCAGCGGACGGATGACGATCCTTTTAAGGTGCTTGATGAAACTAGTCTGCGATGTGCATGGAGGGTGCATTTTTTCCAACGCCGGTCGTGTATTGTTACTGGTAATGGGGTGTCTGGGCTGAGTGTGGTGCTATTCTTTTATACAACCCTGGACTGGCCAAGGATTCAATGTTGGAACCAGTCCAGGGGAAAGACGGGAATTGGTGCAAGGCCACAAGGATGACGAGCTAAATTGAAAGAGCAAGTGGTAAGAGAATGCCTGATGCTTTGAAGATATGCCCCCACACAGTCAAGCAGCATGTTCCTCTCATCCCATCAGACCATCCACTTCGGCAAAGAAAAAAAAGAACAAAGAAATCGTAAATTCTGGCACTGGTGCCTGCATCCATAGGCCAGGTTTGTCGTCAACGCAAGTCCTTTCCGAGGAACCGCCGGGTAAATGGTGTGACCCAGGTGCCCGATCTGCAGCCTCAGTCCGGTTTGAAGAGGGGGTGACAGAAGCAAGAAGGTGCACAATGCGCCGATCCACTTCGCTAAATACAACGCTGAGTTAGAACATGATGTTGATCCCCCTAGGGTAGATGGCGTCGAAAACATTTCAGAGTAGATTGATTCCCCTATGACGCCAGGGTATGTGATCGCTGAAGAAACGGAAAAAAACAAAAGAAAGATCTTGATAATCACAAAAGTCCGAGAGTCTGAATTGGAGACGGTGAGCAGTGCCTCCGATTAATGAGAGTCCTGGAGAAACCACTCAAGGTCATCGGGCTCGAAGTGTTCGGCGGATGTTTCCGCCGCTGCAATGTCACTTTCAAAAAGATCGGCGATTCCGTCATCAAAGGGGACCGTAATCCCCGAAGGCAGACTGTTGCGCCGCTCGACGAGGTCAAAGAACTCACCTGCAAACTCGGCCAGCTCATTGGCCACTTTGAGCTCCAGGATGGCTTCGAGCAACTGCATTTCCCTTTTCCATTTGCGGTCACGCTGAGCTTTTTCTTCCTGGCGACGGCGGCACAGGCTGTCGCGAGGTTGGTCCGTCATGCAATTGGGACACAAGTAGTTTTCCTCACAATACGAACACTTGCAGGGTGGGTTGGTATATATGCAATCCGCGCAGACATACACCTTGCAGGCTTTGCATTCTCGCAGATAGCTGGGGCATCTGGGGCGTGGATCCCTGATTCCGGTGATGGGATCAGCAGGGGGACAGAAGAAGGATTGGCAGCCTTGCCATCTTGGGGATTCGATTGTCGGCGAATCAAAGAAGGTAGAGGATGAGGACGAGGGAGAGGAAGAATGGTCAGACATAGGGGCCGAAAATGAGCGGGATGGTTGGTTGGAGAAGATAGAAACAGCAGCCGACTGATCACCAACATGTGATTCGGGTGTATTTTCCTCGTCCATGCTATCTTGACGTGAATCATCAATGAAGCTTTTGTTTGTCGAGTTAATAGGCTGTTGGCTTCTGAATAGTGAGTCGTACTCGGGAAGTTGGCTAGACATGAGGGACCCCGAAAGATTTGCAGCGAATCGATTTTGAATAGTTTGCTTTTCCGTCTCGAGGTCTCGGTAGCCACAGATTCTTAAACGAAGCCCCCGGAGGTCATGTTCAATGCAGAGAGGCTTGGAGCAGCTCTTGCAGTGCACCTTCCACTGTGGTGAATCGTAACATCCTTGGCACAAGTTACGCGGGCACGGTGAAACTTCTCGGTTGGGAGGACCTAGCAGCCACTTCATCATCGCCAGGTGACCCGTTTCAAGCGAATAGTCTGGCTTGCTCGGATCTCCGTACGCATACTTGGGGAATGTCTTGCTCCATTCACTAACAGTGTACTCTAGGTCCTCCCAACCTTGGCCACGAGGTAGAGGCACGGCTCGTACCCGGTCCACCTCACCATTACGAGGTCCGATGCTGATACCGCCTCCTCCGGAAAGGTCAGGCTTGGTGCAGCACCAATGGAAATTGAGAATAGGCGGCGGGTCCATCCCTGTACCCTGGGCTTGATTGGGATCTGCCAGGATACCCACAGGATCCTGCATTGAGCCTGGAGAGTGTGTGGCCCCAGGTGCCCACCAGAAGGAGTCCGGTGCATTCTGGTTTTTCTGGGAAGAAGATAGAGTGTTTCTGTGAAGATACGGCCGTTCGTGGGCGCAGCTCGCACATAGCGTTTTACGACATCCGACACAGTGCATTAAGACACTGCAATGTTCACACCGTTCTGAGATATCTTCGAGGCAGTTATCACAACGGATCCTGTCGACAAATTGGGTATGACTCCGGCGCAGATGGGCAGGTGTCATTTTGCCTTCACCCCAATCAATACCCTCACCAGTTCCTAATGCCTCACCATAAAATCCAGTGTCACGATTCTCCCACAGCTTTCCACCGTATACATGTGGCTGAGGGGTCTCAGAATCGGTTGGGCCGATCCAATTCCTAGATCTCCAGAGTCGATCAAAGACTACCCAAACTTCCGGAGACCCTGCTCCGTGCGGGAACCTTGATTTAACGTAACCGGCTCTGCGAGCGCATCTACCGGCAGGTGTGGTACACCAAGCGGTATCAGTCCAGATGCCTAGCTTGTGGCAGATGTTGACAAGTTCATGGGTCGACTCCGCGTCAGTGTCTTTTCGCATCAGTGAAGATGATAGATAAGGGCGTCTTCGATGATGACGACATCGGTAGGCGTAAATACTCTTGAGAGCAAGTCGTTGCGTTCCGGAAGAGTTGTCGATATTGTTCCCCATGTCAATGTCATGTTGCAGCGCGAACATGGTCAGGAAAGGAACGATGTGATATTTCAAAGATACGTTCTTGCAGCCTCGAACGGAGAGATGTACCAGCGTCTCCCGACGTGAATGCAGCACGGTTGAGGTTAGATTCTCTCCCGAAATGGCAGTGTTGTCCAATTCTAGGCTTTTCAAACACCTACTGAATGGCATCACCACATTCATCAGGAACATATCTAGGGCATAAGGTCGAGATTGACGCGTCGGGGCTGCGTCAGGGCCGCTTGGGTCATTTATTTGAGGATTCGGTAGAGTGCTTGAAGGGTATTGTAGGCGAAACGAGAGTGACTTCCATGCGGTCGGATATGATCGAAGGAACGTACGAAGGTAATTTGAAGTGTGATACAGCTTTATGATAGTATCGGTCGGGATCTGAAGTGACAGAGACTCGAATATGGGTGCATTTGTTGTTATCACTCGCTCAAAAGTGGACAGGGTTCGCTCATCTGAGATAACGGAGCGTTGCAAGGCATTTTCCAGCACCGTCAGGTGCGACGCTGAAATTTCACCAGCGATATTCCCCCAAGCCATGGTGTCAAGACCGTGATTCGTCATAGGTCCTGGGTAAGCAAAAGATGCCGGTTCTTAGATCGAAGATCGAGATGGCGCGAGGTCGCGAGCTCGGCGGTTAGAGACGCGGCACATGATAAGACAACTTGAAGATGCAATCGAAGGGGGGGGGAGCACACCCTGAGGTAAGCCACCATGCAAGGCCATTAAAGGTACACAGTCGATAATTGAAAAGATGGAGTCGCAAGGGCTGATGAATTGGGGTATCTGAAGGGAGAGGGAAAAAGAGAGGGGTATAAGAATGAGGTGAAAAGACGAAATCCCCAAAAAGAGGATAAAGCAAAGAAACAGGAGTTATTACTTGTGCCCCTATGACTCTGGATAAACTAAAAAGGGAGAAGAAACAGTGGGAGATGAAATTCAAAAGCTAAGCAAGACATGGTGATGCGCCCGTTGGGAGAGACCAGCGTCGTCATGTGATGGCCATCAACCCCCGGATTCTGATGATCTGCGTATGTTGTAATTCTTGGATTTCATAATGCAAAGATAAAATTGAATGCAATGATCGCTGAGTCTATTGCAAATGGTTTCTATGCTAGGCCATGTGGACTAGTGTTTGTCGGCTGCATCGCCTACAGTGTAGCCCCTCGCAATGCCCTTGCGCCCTTCCTTGACCATGGTACTATCCTCCGAGTCTTCCTCATCATATCGAATATCAAAGTCACTACCTAGACCCTTCCATGTCCGTTGCGATCGCAAGTATTCTGCCCCTGGTGAAACGGTACCGCCGATCATAGCCAAATCACCCTTAGCTCGTCGGGCCAATGCCCTAGCAGCAGATGGACCGGTAGTGGTTGATCCATCGACCTGGGAAGCGCGCGGCGCGGGATTTCGCATTGGACGGGAATGTGAGACGTACCGACCGGTGCGAAAGTCAAACTCGGGAGGCGCCGACTCGGGTTCGGACAGATCGTCCTCATCGGAGACGGTTGCGCTAGGGAATGTCCCCTGGTCATCTCTATTTCCGCTAACCTCCTGGGCTGGTGCGTCGAGCACTGCCTGGAAGTCACTCTGCCACGCTCCTGTCCACACCCGGTCTGAGTCGTCTTTCAAAGCCAGCTCCAGTTCGAATGGAGTGATGACTGGCTTCCAGAAATCCTTGCTGTCCACCAAAGAACTTTCCCAGCAGCCAATGACCACCCAACCACCAATTTCACTGAAGTTGGCTACCTTGGCAGCATTCAATTTACCAACCACGAACATGTAGCTCTTTTTGCCTGCTTCGGCAATTCGTTCCTTGACATATTCCACAATATGGAGGTAGTTCTTGACACTCAAAGTGTTGATAAGGATACCCCAAATAGGCACGGTGGTCAGAGAGGCAAGAGTTCCATAGCGGCGTCGCAAAACCGCGGCAGTCGAAGCAGGCAATGGCTTGACATTCTCATTCGAAAGGTCATCGGTAGGATAAATGTGGATCGCGGCAACGCGAGATGCTAGTGTCATCATGAGAGCTGTTGGCGGATCGGAGATGTGAAACAGTTGCCAGTCAGCCAGCGTTTCGGGCGCCTCTCGAACTGACTTGGGGACTGTGCGATTGGGAATCGATGAAGAAGGCTCATGAACGACCTCCGTTGCAAATATATTGCTATATCCCTCTTCCACCAGGCGGGCGTATACCGTAGGAACGTGGTCTGCAAAGGTAACATCGGCTACAATAATAACGTCGGTGGTTGGGTCAAGATAAGTCTCCTTGAACGCTCGTACCACTGGCTCAAGAGGGAGATTCTTATGTGTGAAGACATGGATCACGGGTAGCCGAGCTGTTGGCGACAGACAGGACCTTCCGTAATGCACAACCACATCTGCGTCCACGTGTTCTGCGGCCACTTCGTCAACGCAGCACGTCCCATATGATGTGTCGGCCAAGATGGTCAACCGAGGCGAGGTTTGTTCTGTTTTTACCTCCAGCTGGAGCTCAGTTACTGAATGAGCAAGGTCGGCATCGGCGTTGCTAGCATCGGTCTTGTTCGAGGGCTGTGTGACATTGGTGCCGACTTCCTCGCGTTCCAGGCCCCGGCTGAGCAGTTGAAATACTCGCGGGGCATCGGGAAGCATATCATCTGGGAACTGGAGAGCGATGCGCTTGTACCGTGCTTGCCGAATGTCCTTCAATGTGCGCTCGATATCGTACGTAATGGAGAGTTCATCGTCTGACACTGAAGCCGTTGGGTCTCGCGAGGCCACTGGAGTGGTTTCTTCAAGAATGCGATCATCAGCAGTTGACAGCACAGGGGCCGACTTCATTTCAGATCCCATTTTGTAAAAAACAAATTGAAAAGTGTGGTGTGGTATTGAGCCAAGGACGAGAAATTGCCAAAAGTTTTTGGAGAAAAAAAAAGATCCCCCCACTTCACCCCGCCATGGATAGCGGGAAAATACAACAGAGCCCCATTGGCAGGCAACCCAACCTCCTGGTAATCACATTTTGGTGAAAAGATATTCGAATTTTTCTAGAGTCACAGGGCTATTTACGTATTTCCTTGGATCGACTGAAAAAGCAAACGAAATCTACAAGTTCGCCTGGGCTGGTTCTCCGGCCCAAACCCTGCGGAGCAATTCGCGGATCGGCGCTCGTTCAATCGGCCGAGGATTCCAGTAAGCGTTGGATATCGCACTATCAGCCGCTTTATCAATTTCTTCCTCCTTCATGCCGAAATCCTTCACGCCGCGCTTAACCTCAAGCTTAGTCAAGAGAACGTTTAAACCGTGGATCGCGTCACCGTTGCTATCCGGCAGGACATCGGCCAACTGCTTCATAGCCTCGGGGATGTAAGGTGCATTATAAGAAATGGCATGCGGAAGTACAGCGGTGTGAGTTTCGGCATGAGGAAGATTGAAGCTGCCGCCAAGTGTGTGGCACAGCTTGTGGTGAATGGACATGCCCACGCTACCTAGACATGTCCCGCAGAGCCAAGCACCATACAAGGCCTTGGATCGTGCAGATTGAGAAGATGGATTCTCGATAATTTCGGGAAGGGAAGATGCAAGTGCCTGTATGCCCTCGAGTGCCATCATGTTGATGATCGGGTTAGTGTTGCGCGCGTAGAGAGCTTCGACTATCCAGAACGCATTAGATTTGTGTATCATTACTTGGCGCAGATTAATGAGGTATATTTTACCAGCATGTGCAATGGCATTGACACCACTAGTGGCACTCATGGCCGCCGGTAAGGTCATTGTGAGGTCCACATCGTAAATGACCGTGCCGGGCAAGATTTCGGGGTCCGAGCGAGTTTTCTTTAATCCATTGGCAGTCTCACCGAGAATCGGGGTCATTTCACTACCAGCATACGTTGTCGGAATACATATATGCGGTAGTCCAGTGCGAATGCTGATCGCCTTGCCGAGACCAATAGTGCTTCCGCCTCCAATAGAAATGACTGAGTCGGCTCCCTGGGTCTTTGCATACTCTACAGCCTCATCTGTGACACTCGTGGGAGTATGCATGACTGCCTGTCTAAAACTACCGGCAATCTGATCCTTAAGCACCTCCTTGACTTTCTCGGCTTGGCTGACCTGTTGAGGTGTCGAGAGCACTAGCGGGGCCTTCACTTGCAGGCGAGAGATCTCATCTGGGAGTTTATGCAGCGTGCCGCTGCCAAAAATGACCCGGCCAGTGTTGGGATTGTACTCGAAGGCATCCATTTTGTGTTTGAATTTATCTGAGAGCGGGACTCGTTCTCTTATACTCCGAACCCCGCACCCCACCGCATTTGATGAACGTTGTGCCCATCCGTGGGGCCGTGGGGTTTTGTCGGCAGTTGTAATCTGGTAATTCTCCGAGTCATTCCAAGTTGGCGTTTTTTTTTTGTATTCACCGGTAGATTTGCCTATTCTTCGAGTACACTGCATTCCTCTTGTGTGGTTGTAGATGTTCTGGCCATGGAAATACCATCCTTCCACTCGTGCCTACTAGAGGCGTCCCTAATAGGAATCACCCATCATAGGATAGGTCTGCAGGCTTGAATTTTTAACTTAGTTTAATCTTATGGATTGAACCTGTTTAGCTACGATTTTGAAACACAAACCCTCGTATTTAATCAATGGCTATAAGGTAGCACGCACTAGCAACTTGGCCATATGCTTAGCGTTCGCGTCGAACGACTCGCTCAGATAGAAAGTGCATAAACCCTACCTTCCCCTATTTCGAATCATAAAATTTCATTCGGAACTATACTGAGAACTATAAAACAGAGAATCAAGGACTGCTATGCAAAGTATCTGTAGATACGTGGAGGAGAAAAGGAAGCTATCTACAGCATCTGGGATTGAAAAGACTGAGAGTAGTTGAGAGGAATGACTTCTCAACACCCCCAGCGGCTAGTACGTGGTCGCGAGATCAATGGTATGTTTCTAAATATCTAAATGTCAGCTGGAGATACACTTCCCCCGCTTAACTAGTCAATTTTTACTCTCTAGATGTAGGATCCACTTTATACTACTTTTAAAGCGAAGAAGTAGGTTAAATTGCTTAGTGCTCGCTCATGTTAAAATACACACTCGTGTTACCACACTTTTAGGGCCAGTCAGATTTTGGTATTAGTTCACGTCAGTCTCTATAATTAGACAGTAGCCTTTAATAGAAATCCCACTTGACACGCTTGGTGTAGGGAGTATCTTTGTGAAGGATGAAGGTGCTTACACCGGGAGTACCCAGGAAGTGATCGGCACGGCATCGTAGCCGATCCGAGGCACGGCACATGGTGGATGTAAGCACTAGAGTGTACCGAGGTCAGTTTCCCTGTTATCCAGGATCCCCTAAGTCTTGGCTCATTTTAACACAATACATTGTGTTCCCATCCTAGCCAGCGTATTTTTACCCGGTTGACAAAACAGTATACCTTTACAATCGTACGACACTGATAAACAAGCGAGTGACAGTTTGAATCCTTAGGGTAAGTGCTCCATTTAGTTCCTGGTTGTACTTACCGGCAGTTAAGGACCGCATCAAATAGCCTACTAGCAGATATCTACGTTCTCAACAAAGTCTCGAGTAGAGCGGATAATCGGGATTCGGGATAACTAGAGATAATTTAGGTTAGACACCGCGGCCTATAAGCCTATCGAACCGAACGAAGATAGCTAATAGCCGCTCGCGATAGGGATCGATAGTTCTATAAGGTTATACTACATCTTCTTTTCTCTGAATGACCCCGAAAAGAAGCCCTCGCTTAGTCTAGAAAATTTCTGGTACGCCAAAGTGGCATCATGAGGATCCGGGTTGATCCTCACGGAATTCCTAGTGACCAGAGACCCAAGTCATGTATTAAAATCGAGAAGAATCATTGTTACAAAAGAAGAACGTCCGTGATAACTAGTTGTGCGACCAATAGAATCCTCGAAAGTGACTTTATTTGCTCTTCCAGTACCATCTGATCCGTAAAAACTTCAACATTGATTTCCACTCATTCAGTCACCTTTCTATTAGTAGGCAAGCGGAAGTGGCGAGTCCCCGCGGCAAAGCCATTTCATTAAAGCGTCTTCGTATGATATCTCAGTCTATTGAAGATAAGAAACGAGGATCAAAACATCAAACCGACGTGCTTTGCTACCTCCAGTGTGTCTATACCCTCTAATTCGAGCTATTCTATAGAATTTAGAATCTGGACAAAGTGTGCGAGGAGCTCCCACTCTTGCTGTTTGGTTTTCTCTGACTTAGCGGTCTCAATTCGGGCCTGGTAGCGGCGACTCATTTCCTGCATGGTTCACGAGCATGATTTCGTGGAACCCATCTTCGCCATAAATTGCTTTCAGACCGTCAAAGAGGGCGGTGCGTTGGGTTTCTGAGAGGGCCACAAAATCTTCTCCACTGGCGTTGAGGAGCCGGTCATGAGTCCAGCCTTGGGGGTAGAAAGGCATGATTGGATTAAATCTAAGGTATCTTTTTGGTTGCGGTGAGTTATGGTATGTTCACTCTGACCAAGTGGAAAGACTACTGCGATTGTTTAGCGTGATGCCTTAGATGACTGAAACATGATCTCTTTTTAATACAACTCAAGGTAATCAAACAACCTGAAAACAGAGTCATCGTATTTTCGTATTCTTTCCCTTGGCAAAGGAAACCAGACAAGCTATGTACACCTCGGACTACATGTAGGATTACACTTATAACTGAGTCATCTCGCCTTTGATTATACCTGTGGATGCTTTGGTAGTCCCCCTGTCTCTGGAATTGAGGTTTCCAATGTTGCAGCTGAGATGCATGGAGTGATTTAAGAGGTTTGCATCTGAAGCTGATGAGATAATAGTAAGTGACCAATATACAGGTTAAAGTTGGAGATATCATTGTATACCTACTTAGGTGTGCACTATGCAAGACAGAGTCCAGGCCTCCTGAGCTTTGGAAGATCCCCACTCTCTGCGGTTCGTTCCGCTGCCAGTTGAGTGTCAAATCGTGACCTACAGGCCTGTCACATGTGGCATGGTAGCTCATTCATTGAGAGCTTTTGATCTCCTTGGCTTGGTTTTGGTCGGGATTTATCCCTGCCTCTTCTTGTTTTAATGAAACGGTTATTGGGCCTTGATTTTCGAACATCGTATCCCGTTAATTAACCAGTGACCCACTCGTCTTGATCTCTCGGTGGTACTTTCAATATTATCAATGTGAAATTGTTCTGTCCTGGTTGACATACTACTCGGCTGGTCCTCTGCAGTTTCGGACAACGATTCTACGAAGCCCAGTTTCACCACTCGCACAGAGAAATTCTTTCTCGAACCCTCTATCGAAATACGCTAAATCTATGATAGCCACATTACCCGTGGCTCCTTTTCTTCGTAGAAATTCAATATAGTTGTATATAACAGCACAAAAGTAGCTACTGTTTTAGGCTTTTATGGCTTGGGGGGCTTCTAGAAGGATTGTTGATCCCGTAAACAAGGCAAAGAAATGGGAGATCTTCCTTATCTGTTTACTAGGCCAGAGTTCGGATTCCAGTCTATTGACTAATAACCACTCTATTCCAGAGTGTTTGTGTAAGTGAGGTGTGCATCTATCATATAGTGCTAGTGGGTTATATATCTTATTCTGCATGACAGACTGTATTGGCAACTAGCACTCGCTGGACTCTGACTGAAGGGGACAGTACTGACGTTGGATCCGTTAGATTCGTTAGAGCCTTGAAAACGCACGATGGCCGCTAGCTCGTATCATAATGAAAACGATCTTCAGCCATACAACTTCGATCCTATAGATCAAGATTCGCAATTGACCCCCACTCGCGGATATTTCGGTCATGCCTCTACGCTAAGAAGCGCACTTAGTCCTTCACAAAGCGATTTCTCTAAAAGCAACCTGAAAGAGCTATCCTAAAACGAACTATATCGACCGAGACCACCCTGGTTATTCAAAGAGCATAAGCTTCCGACAAGATGGAAAGTCATAGTGGATAAGAATGTCAATTCACGAAATAACAGCCCTAATACCGAGTACCTTTTAGCTAATGACTCTAAGATGACTCTAAAAGGGTTTATTTAGAGAAGTGGTTATACGGGGAGATCTGAAACAAAGGAAGGGTGAGGTTAGACGACACATTAATTGTGATGTTGGTGAAAGATCACTTCTAACGTGACCTAATGTAGCGATTCAATCATCTTGATCGAATGTGCTATAGTGGAAAGATAGCTACTTAGTTAGGCAGGGCGAATTCTTTTTTCCAAAAATGAAAGCTGAACATTACATTTAATTTTATGAAAGATTGACATAAACATTTCTACAGAACTACCTTCAGTGGGGTAAAGAGAAGAGGAAGGTCATCAGTCACTAAAAAAGTGAGACACTCAACTAGATGCCGAAGAGAATTTATCTAGGCAAGAATCTGTTTAGCGACTTGTGTATAATTTGTTGTGTTACCCTTCTTCCTTGTGCCATATAAGCTCACATTGCTGGTAAAACCTATGATATGTGGAAAAAAGCGCTACGCGCTGAGGAGCCAATGTTGAAAATGTTTAATGGCCTTTATAGAGAATTGGAACACCCTATAGTCTTATAAAGACGTCCCCCTAGTGAGCATCCGACTACCGTAGGTGAAAGGATACGGGCGCATCTTATGGCCCATCTCTGGGGTTATATAAAGTCAAGTCCCGGTGTTGCATTTTCTGACTCTCAGGCAGAAAGAATCCGGTCTAGCTAAGATACGCACCTTAAGTCAAAGTCATATGATCCATCAACCATCTCGGCAATGGGATCATGCCAACGACGGCATCGTGATTTCAATCAATCCACTCCCTATCCCTGCCATCCAGGCAACGGGTTGGTCTCCAGATATGGACGAGTAAGCACGAGAAGCATGCCACGGATCTTGTTTTAGTGGTCCTCATTCCAACGAACTTCAACGCTTTACAAATGCAATTTAAACCTACTAATAAGGCCCTTTCTCAACCCAGTCAGCAAAGACGAAGTCACTAATGACTAAAATGCGATCGCGTCGCAAGTGGATCTGTCGACCATTGGAGAAAGATTAGAGTGTTAAACTACTCCGAAAGACTTTGTCAGCGATCTCAAGTTGATTTTCAACTGTGCACACCAAGTGTGCGGTCAAGCTAGAAATGTACACGTGGAGGCTCATCGAGGTAAATCCGGAGTGGTGTGACTTGTTTGAAGAGTGATTCGTGCTACTGCATTCATTGGAGTTACAAGTGTTGCTGCATGAAGCGAGGTTGTTGCATGGTTGGAGTCGGTACCGGGCGATTGGATATGGGGTGCTATATAGAACAAGCTGTCAATGATATCCATATTCACTGCGATGCTTGGCCCTAGCGCTTATTTGATATTTGAGAACAACCCATGGTCCTTGGAACAAACTGGAGCAAAGTAAGGGGAAAACATACAGAGTACATTCTCTCGAGATGGAGATGTGAATATTTTTTACTCCAATTGGTTCTTAGAAACCCTAACACCAACGCTGTGTACACTTTTTTTTGTATTCGGGCTGAACAATCGATCTGCAGATGTGGGTATCAGATAGTGGAGATTTTGTAGACATTAGTCCAGGTCGTGGAAGGCCATGACGTGCTGTCCACCACTGCGGTCCTTGCTCTTGGACTTCTTGCGCTTCTTTCGGTCTCTCGGATCCTCGCGAGGTTCCGCATCGCTGTCATCCGAGTCTTTCTCGTCATCACTGTCATCCATCATGTCTTCGTCACCAGATCCTTCACCGACATTGTCCTCGGCCTCGTGCCACACCTTGACGGTTTGGCCACCGCCAGAAACCATACGGCCCTCAACGTCAAAGCCTAAACCCACAACACCATCGATCTCATCGTGCACAACCTCGGCAACGACTTGGTTGGGTCCGATACGCACGAATTTCACTTTTCCGCTTGAGAGACCTGCCGCCACCACCTTGCCCAAGTAGTCAGGCCCAACTACCATTGTCTCGATGGAGTCTCCGCCATCGGCACTGCGGTCGACGTAGATCCGCTCATCCTGGTCATCCCACGCGCCCTTCTCCCAGAGAGTGACGATACCGCTAGCTCCACCGACAATGAGCTTTTCACCTCGGCTGGTTCCACTGGAGGGCAGACCGCCCATGAAAGCGGAGCTGACCAATTCTTCTTCCTGGTTCTCGCTGCGCACCAGAACGCCCCTCCGGAGATCCGTCACAGCCAAGGTTGTTCCACCAGTGGTAACCCACTGCTTGCTGAAGCCAGACGTGCTAGTTTCTGAAGCTGGCAGAGGGGTAAGAGAGGAGATGTAGTCATCGTGGGGGTGGTGCGACTGCTCAGGCCGCGCGGACACCTTGGAGTAGGGAATACGAAGATCGTAGAGGTGTAGAGCACTTGAGTCGGTACCGAGGAGAAGAGTTTGAGGGGATAGGGCGTGAATCATGGTCGGCGCATCAACAGAACTATTTGACATCGAGGAATGACCGGTCAGCTTAATGCAAAGGTCTGGATTGTGACGCTTGATATGCGGGAGTGTTCCTTTACCCGTTCTTCTCAAGAGGAATCACAATCTTGTTATGCACCTGACCAGTCTCGGTGCTTGCAGCCTTCACCATACCGTCTGTACCAGCCGAGTAAAGCGTCTTGCCATCCGTACCGAACCCTAGGGTACGGCAACTACCCTTGTGTCGCCGAGTTCTCCACATTGTGTCAATGTGGCCCTTTCCGGACCGGGCCGACGAATTCGATGCGGCGTCTTCTTCATCCTCTCCTTCTAAGGAAGGCAGTCGAAAGGTCTGGACGTGGCCCGAGGCCAGACCAACAGAGACTACAGGTTCCTCGGGGTGGATAGCCTGAGCGAACAGGTCCGAGGAAAGTGGGAGCGTGCAGACCGTGTCGAACATGATTGTGAATTGCGACAAAAAAAAAGCAAAAAAAAAAAAGGAATGAAGGCTTCTATAGAGCCGGGTTAACCTCTGAATTCGTATGAATTCAATCAGGAGAATTTAAGTACAAAAAGCTGAAGCTTGGGAGCTGCCCATTTTTTTTCTGCCAGGCAGAGAGTACCCTGACCGCCTTTCCTTACTTGTTCGAGTTAAAAACTGTCAAATGACATCAATTCAATTGTGTAACCACTCTGGTTCTAAGAAAGAAAGGACAAAATCAAGAATACGGACAACTGTCAACAAAAAAACTGATACATGCACTATTTACGATGTCTTCCAAATTGGGCATCTGCTGCCACTGGCTCAAGATTTTATGCAGCACGGAGACTCCGCCTTTCAGGCGTAGCCCAAGTTCAAAAAGTGCCTGTTATTTTGACTCTTTAGGAAGCGTAGGTGGAGCCAATGGGACCGACCTTGATGTTAGAGTAGGTCACCTTGGCCGAGCCTGACTCGTTCTCAACGGTCGCTGGGTCGCCGGAGGCTGTGTCGCATGTGCCGCGAGCAACACCAGGATCGGAGGCAGAAGCAGAGGTGGGGTAGGCCTCGCCGTCCAACCAGAGCATCTTAGCATAGTGGTCATCCCACAAGCTCATGACTAAAACCATGCCCTGGTCCAAACCCTCGCCCATGGTAGCCAGACCACCCTTTTGAGCGAAGATATCATCGTCGCCGAAGGCTTTCTTCTGGGCTGTGCAGAAGTCCGTGGTGATCGAGTTTCCGGTGACACCGCTGACTTCCGAGGCAGAGTTGGCAATGACCTTTCCGTTCTGCACGTAGACACGCTTGATCTCGCTGAGGGTGCCGGTGTCGGTGCCGTCGCTAGTGATGAACTGAGTGACCACGGTCACCTTGGACTTGGAGTCAACGGTCTTGCCGGGGCCGAAGAAGGTCTCGTTGCCCATGCGGAAGGGATTGTAGTCACATCCATCGGGATCGCAGGTTCCTGCGTAGCGGGTGGAGGAGTAAGTTCCGCCACAATTGTCGCCCTCGCACATGGTCTGTTCGGGGCTCTCGCAAGGGTGAGGTGTGTACGCATTGGAAATGCTGTTGGCTTCCCAGATATCCATTTCAGGGCAGCAAGATCCGTGGCCGCCGACACCGCTATTCTTGTCATTCTTGGAAGGTACCCAGCCATCCACGTTGGCCTGTTTCACGCATTAGTTTTTTGTCCCACGACCTGTTGAATTAAGCAGTATTAAGAGCTCACCTGTCCGTTGATGAACTTCAGATCACGAGGGCACTGAGAATCACAGTAGCCAGTTCCGTACTTGGCACCTGCCTTGTTGCCGTCGTACTTAGCCATGCCACCATCAGAGTCCATGGAAACAAAGTACAGAGCTCCATTGAGTCCGCAAGGCAGCTGGGAGGTATCCACGTCGAATGTGAACTCCTGGTTCTTCAGCTTGAAAATCTGGTAGGTACTTTCGTCCTCCATCAGGAACAGACGAGAGCCAACGTTAGCGCCAGTGACAAAGTCCAACGTGAGAGCATTGCCATCGGTGGTCACACCGTAGGTGCCGGCGTAGTCAGCGCCGTCCAGAGCGCATTTTGTGGCGCAAGTCTTATCGTCTGGGCAAAGATTCGCATCCCACTATCACCAAAAAAGTCAATCAACAGAACGCTCACCTTCTCAGTTCGGAGTTTCTTACCTGGTTTCCAGTGTAGCAGTTGGTGGAACCATCGACAGAGTGAAGCCAACGCCAGTTGGAATCAATAACAACAGAACCCTTCTGGTCGGTGCAACTGCCCTTGGCAGTGCACTTTTGCCATGTCAAAGAGGGATGGGTCTCAGCTTTCAATGTGCCAACCTGCTGGGCATGGGCAGCCGCCGCCAGGGCGGAGAAAAGGAGTGCGCGCTGATACATTGCTAATGAATGAGAAGAGTCGGTTTACAAAGTTGTCTTGTTATCTTGTTACCTGTCCTGCAGTTGATGAACAGAAAAAATTCTTGGGGTGGGGATAGATCTTTATATGTCTTTTCTTTCCATGAGATTGCTTTAAGTCATCCACGTGCAAGCCTTGAACAAGGTCCTCTCTGCATAGCACAACCGATGTGACGGATAGTGAGACCGTTGCTAAATTGGTATGGATAGAGAGTCCACAATCATCAAACCAGTGTCAACTTCCATACTGGGGTGACCTCCGATATTGTAGGTACATCGATTAGAGAGTGGAATCGGCGCCTGAATCAGGAAGGGAATGATCATCGCCGGATAACTGCGGTGACATGTCCCATCAAGACCCTGACTGATATTGGAAGGGATAAAAATGGGTTAATCGTTTCAAGACCCGTGAAAACGGAGAATTCCCCGATCCAGTTCTGTCGATTTCTGTATAAGATTTGGGGAGCTTGGTGGTGTAAGGAGCGATGGCTGCAATTGAAGACGCTTTGAGACATGTCGCCTGTCGATCTCGCATTTGGACATTAGCACCGGTGCTACCTGAGCATGAATTTGGCTACACTGCTCCGTAGACTACGCTCAACAAAATCATCATGAGACACTTTGTGGAATTGAAGGCGGTTAAAGCCTGCCAAGAGCGCCGCTGAATAGAATGGGCGCCACGGCGCTCCCGAGGTCCTCCACAAACATCAAACCGCCGAAGGACCTTTTTGGCGTCGGAAAATGTGGGCCAATGTGCAGGCCGTTGGGCCTAGACACGGATTGTTCTATCGACCCTTCGGGTAAAAAAGCGTTTCAGACCGAAACCATGATAATTGTGAACCGACAAACGAATGCCCTTGCAATACCATCGATCTAGCAGTAATGATTGGATAATATATACCATTGTTAACTCCCACCTGTCTCATACATATTTGCTATTCTCTATCTTGACATCGCGGATGGGACAGTTCACCGTCTCGTTGGGGGCTCATAAGTTTGAACCCGAAGCTCCATCGATGCATACTTGTTGCTCTCGCAAAGGCCTACCATCAAGCATAGATAAAACTCCGCATGTAATCATAATCACTCTCACCTTGACTTGAACAATTTCAGTCCGAAATAAGATAGATACTAAGCACAATCGATCAACGGCGCGATGGTCCGACTTGTGGAGACGTGGCACATGGTGTTGGGCAACCCGGACCATCGGAAGTAAAGTAGATAAGATGAAGGACACATGCTATTTCCAGGCTATCACTGTGGATCGCATTGCGGGGTTCGCCAATAGTAAAGACAAGACTCCAACGAGAAACACTAGGCAGGGGCAGTACGGAGAAGTCGGTGTTTCAAGATTGTGTTCCTGAATATGCTGCGGCCTGCTTGATGAGTCGAAAGTTCAAAAGACGGCGCGTAAACAATCTAGCTTCAATGTGACCTTTTGTGCAAAAGATTGGTGACTAGAAGGGATATAATTTTACCGAACAGCGAGAAAAGTGCAATAACTACAGGAAGTTGCATATGGTACCTGTGGCTGTAATCAGGCAAATCAGGCCGCTACTCCTGACAGATTACATAATACTAATTAACCGCCAGGCCAAGAAACCATCAGGACAAACGGAACGTCTGTTAGTCATTGCAACGGCATGTACGGTGTGTATTAGGCCCTGACATGTGTTAGGGACCACATGGCGACAGCCCTGAATTCACGTGGCATCAAGCATGTATCTTTGTCGGTTGTCATGCTACCTCACCTTAGCTACCCTTGGCAACCCAGAATTCTGTACGGAGAATTCCGAGCAGTAACATCTCACGGTTACATCTGTTCGATTTGTTGCCTGTCATGCAGGTTCCACGAAACGCGGATGGCCAAATTCGACACGGCAACTTGCCTTCAATATGCGAGCCAAATGTTTACCTCTGCTTCGATGGAGTCTAGACAAAGTGCTCCCTCTATGAATGCATTAATTTTCCTGGATATGGTCGTCTAGCTGGCAATTTACCAATCATTGAACACGGGGATTCGGACGGCCTCATGCGCGGAAGAATGCATGGAGCTTCCAGGGTGACTAGTGTATCGACCACTTCCTATTGTGACAAGTGTCTTTAGGCCAAATTAGATCAACTTGATTCTCGGGTTGCATTAGGCCGAATACCTTCAAAGCCACCTGTGTAAGTAGATAGGTGCTGAGATTTATGCAGAGGAATGCACTGCGCCAATGGGAGAAAGCGCTACGGCTTTGAGGATTTATCCTGAACAGATTAATAACCTAGTTATATATGGGTTCTCACATGGAGCTACTGTACTCCGTAGAGACATCTGGAGAGGAATATTCAGTCCAATGGTTTCGGGAGCTCAAGGAAAGTAGGAAGGTGGAAGAAAAAGAAACACAAAAAAAGAAACTCCGATGGGGGGATTCGAACCCCCGTTAGTGCTGTGAAAGAGCACAGTGATAACCCCTACACTACATCGGACTGTTATGATATACTGTATCTAGACATTTTTAATTATTGTGCTTCATGTCCATGACAAAACTCATCTTTCAACCGAGACGAACACCATTCTCAACCACAGATGGAGGCAATAGTAAAGTCTCATTGGACATCCAATCCACCTTCGGCCTATCGCACCTGCCATCGACATAAAATCGACACAATCCAGCCTGGAATCCTCAGCTTTGCGAGGATTAAACTATGAAGCGCAATATTATTCTTTTGAAGGAGAACCACTCGGCCGTATGGGATGCCTAAATCGCATTTCACCTTGACATCTACAGACCGCAAGAAGGCATGCAGACTACATCCCAGCCCCCAAATTTGCATGGATTGGACGATTAGGAGTTGAAAGCTAGAGATGGCTGTGAGGTAAGTTTTGAAGCCAGAAAATAGTAAAGCTTCACGATTTCAAGTTTCCGGACTCTTGGCGGGGTATAGTCCTCGAAAATAAAAAGGGTCTCACAACTCAGAACTCAACTTGATTTGTATGCGGCACTCCTATCACACGATACATCTCCACCACTCTGTCAATTCGACTTTCTTGAGCAGCCACCTAGCACTCTTCTGTCTCAGCCTCGTCACTCTTTCATACAAGGCCATCGCCTATCGGAACGACGACTGCTCTGGTGAGCCCAGGAGAGTTAATTTGCGGAACAACATGTGCAGAGACACCAACAGATTTGCAACCAAACCATTTAGGGTCAGAAAATACGGAAGCCGTCACCAGAAAGCCGCCTTATTCACATACCGGATTCAATACTGCTGTGAGCGCAATATATGTGGGGTGGGCGGATGGAGGAGATGGTTCCTTCCGGAATGGCGCGTGCCTGGGATTTTGTCGTGGAGTTCATTCCTACGGCTCGGTTCTGTCCTGGGGTCCGGCATGCGTGTTAGTTGTTACATCCTTAGACACTGCCCTGGGAGATGAGAACAGAGACTCATACTGCCATAGTAAAGTACCATCTGTCTGTATTATTCTTTGTGGCATTTGAGGTCGTCAAACCACGAATAGAATGAATAATACCTCATCATCTGCGTGGTTACTTCGTGGGCATATGGTGGCTACGAGGGGATATTAAATCTTGATTTCTACAAACACGCCCCCCAACATCACGTTCTTTGGTGGAATATCTTTGAAGTGGAATTTTATAATCGGCTCTGTAGTGAAGGCAGCTTTCCAAAGTGCGTTGATATCGCAAATTCGATGGTATGTAGATTTGAGGACAAGTATTCCGTTTTGGCTGTACTTTCTCAGTACTTTCAGGATTGCCAAAGTATCATTGGTCATATTATTTCAGCCACTCTTTGTTACACAACACGTCTGGTAAACAAGAAATTTGGCTGCCGCGGGGCTCGATGGTGCTACGAGCAGCGACGGAATGATTGAAACTCACAGGTACATGTTGAGGGAAATATCTGGACAAAAAAAGACGCAGAACCTTGTTGAGCCATCTTGCGATACATCTTACGAATCATCTAATTGTTCCCCCTCGCCGATTCCATTTTTCTAGATCTACAAAGTCCGACACTGTATTCATCAAAATTTAACCACAGGGCAAAAATATGGGTAACAACAATGTCGCACGGGAACATCACCAAGGATGGAGCGAGAAGTATGCGCTCTCTAGCCTCTGGTAGCATCCAACAGCTCTTACTTTCCGCTCCGGGAGGTTTTGCGTATTGGCCCTTGTTCGGTAATAAAGCTAACCATGCTCATGGCTGATATTCAACTGATGACCCTGTTATGGTTGCTTCATCCTTTTCTTTTTTGATGCAGGTACTGGAACTTGGCCTCAATCCTCTGTAAGAGGATGCGTCATCAAAGACTGCGCTCCACATCGGATTCTGTCGAACTGTGCACTGTATATATATACACTCAGGCGAGCGTAAATCGAAAAGATCATGGATTTCGTCACCATACATGCATCACAGCCCCAGATTAAGTACTGACTTCCCTGATATAAAGTGCTTACATGATTTTGAGTGCCACTACGAGAGCTTTGACTCTCGGTGTTGTCTTGTGTTGTTCCTGATATCTCCAACTACATACGCAACAACGAACCTTGGAGCAGACTTTTAAAAAAGCCCCATGGAATGAGTATTTCAAAAGTGATGAAACTAATATAACAATCCGATGTAGTGTAGGGGTTATCACTGTGCTCTTTCACAGCACTAACGGGGGTTCGAATCCCCCCATCGGAGTTTCTTTTTTTGTGTTTCTTTTTCCCCCCCCCCTGATCATATTTTTTGATATCCATTTAGGTCGTAATCATTTATGTCCGTGTGTTCCTCAGAATGAGCAGGTAAATTGCTACATTGTCATCGATTGGAGGAAGTTTTGCATCAGGCTGCCTAATCTGTTGGCACTGATTTAGGCAGAAGAAATTTGGTCGCAGTATGATGGAACTGCAGGGCGAAACTGTCAGGTCACAAGTAGAAACACACGCCTCTCAAAAATAAAGCGATTTGATATGTTTTTCATCGAATAGCCCGATTAGATTCTCACAACTTCTGGGAGGCAGACCATGATAATGTAAGGATTTATGCTAAGATATATTAACCAAACATGTTGATCAAAAAGCTTGCGGTGTTGAAACAGCATTGGTCAACTTTAGTGGTTCAAGTGGAATCAAATGATGGGCGATGTGCATCTGGGCCTGTTTGTCATAAGAGGTCATTTTCTGCGAATCAAACCCATGTAGCAATGACAAGGAGACTAGTAGTTATCTGACCGAGTCACGGACATCAGTACCGAAAGGAGCCAAAACGATACAATAACATCCACAAACCCCGAAAGCACTAAACTTTTCATCTACAAGCCAAAACCCTGGATACATTTCCACTGCAAAGGTGTCTTCCCGCGCCCTATACTAAGACCTATGGTGTGTTGGGAAAATCCCCAGCATTCATACGCTGCGGCTCATTATCACTAAATTGTGGAATGCACATAATGACTCGGACAAGATTGAGACCCGGTGTGAGAAGGTTGCAGCGGACATAGCTCATTACGTCGTCGATTAGTTATCCATCATCCAAAGAGAGCTCCAAATCCCAGAATCTAACTTCAAAGTATTCAGATACGTGAGTGACGACCTAAAGAGTTCATCTGTAGCTTGAAGTAGCTAGTGGGCGTGGTGTGTGAATTATACAAAGGAAAAACAAAAAACAACACTTGTCGCAAGGAAGAATCTATGGGGGTAGAAATTTCGCAATAATAGATGATTTGATCATTCACAAGACATCTCTACAAATCCCCAAGCTTCTGCAGATTTGTCAAGTCAAGAATCCTTCGAGTTCCTCATGAAACGACGCTCCAAATCCAGGGTAAGGGGTGATTTCCAGCTCCATGTAGTTCATACCAAAGGAACTAGCAGATCGGTTGACACGGCCATTGGTGGCGATGATTTTGCAAATAAACAGTACAGTCAATACGTTATTTGGTATTCTGCTAACACAATTTCATGCATCAAATGTATATTCACCGGCTCATGGTTCAAGCGCGGCTAGTATTGTAGGTTGAAAGATCGGCAAGGTTGCTATAAACATGGTTGCGGCATTCGGGAAATAGTGGACATCATGTGGACAGAAAAAGGGACGGGCACTGATCACTTGGCTAAATTATAGGGAAGGGGTTCAGGATCATGATGCAATCGAGATTTGTCCGTTCTGTTCACTCAAAAGTGCATGCGGTATGGACTTCGGGCACGACGGCCCTTGAAACTGAAGTACCAAGTCGGCTCGCCGTGTTAAGTTTTGTCATCCGCGTATCTTGGGATGCCGAGAGCCCAGTACTCGGAATTTTCGTCTGGATGATTCTGCATGCAATCCAAGCCAAGGCCATCGAAGTAGCTTCCAACCTACCTTTCTGCATGCTCTACCACGCATTTCCACAAATGAGAGCATGAACCACATCTCTATGTTGATACCATCTTGACCTCGCTGAAGTGATATCCTTGTTGTGAGAGTTGAGGAGCAAATACCGAGTAGAGTTGAAATGATCAAAGACAGAGTCCCGAAAAGAAGACGAGATGGGGGTGAAGAGCAGGTGCTGCCGAAAAGGGAAAGATATGAATCAAGGAAGAAGCTGCTCAGCGTATCTCAGCCAGATTGGTCTCTCACTGTCATCTTCATCTTCTCTTCCACAAGGAAAGATTTCTGAAACTGAAACACACTTCAAAATGTCTCTCTCTGATTCTTTGACGGACAGCAATAACTGTTCCGTCCTTTTTGAGATGCTGCAACGCGCACAGAGAGTATCTTCAGAAGACTGAGGTCCGAGGGCTTAAGCTCCTGCCTTATATGACCGTAAATTCTTATTACAGAGAATCAGCCTCGGAAGCTTTTTAACTAAATGCATGAACAGAACCCCGCTGGTCAAGTGATTTTGTAGTATGATGAGATCTTTTGCTGGGTACCGAGCTGTACGCACAAGGATGTTGGTGTATCGATACTGGATTTTTATGTAAGCTTTGTAGAACTAGAATGTTCCTTTACTTTAGACACTCTCCAGGTATAGCAGAGATGAATGTCTTAAGGAACCTACGACACAAGAATGGGAATGGTTCTTTGTGTCTGTCAATTTTCATATTCATTTTTTCAACATGCAGGTGAATATGGCTCACCGAGGAAAGTTATAAGACGCATACCTTTGTTGTCAGCTTGATTAAATGTGCTACAAGTAAATCAATTTAATTACCCTATCATGTGAACATTGGCGTATGCCAGATAAATAGAGCATGATCCTTCACTTGTAAGGTTAAACGATTCACACGGTGTATAGAAACAAACGCGAAATTTATGCTATTAGTGTTTGCTCTATGTATCTCCCGTATCTCAGCTCTTTTCACTACGGCCAAAGGGATTGAGAGCCTTTCTGGAAAAGCCTCTATCACTGGAGACAGTTGGTTGGTAAGCTGTTTGATATGTTTTTAGAGTCTCAGAGCCTCTTTGTGCTGGTATCATTGGGTGATTTTCTTTGAACTGGTTGTCATACGTGTATTTAGACAAAAATTTGATGATTTAAGCGAGGGAGCTCAATCTAATTCGATGTAATCATACTCAGTGATATTTTCTTGGACTCAATAGCCATATAGTTTACGGTAGAAGGGGATTTAAGTAGGAGATATCCCGAGAGACCGCTATATCTAAGAACCCGCTAAAGTCCAAATAGAGTAAACAAAGAAGCAACTGTGCTAGTTATAATGCGACGTTCAATCACCAATGAACCCAAACAAGGAGTGTTTGTTCAGGGTTGGGTATAAAAGATACTGGCCATTGATGGTGATTTGAACAAAGAGCTGTGTATTCATTGTTGCATCTCTACCTTCCTCACGGTATACTTAAGCTCTCAAGACACCGAGAAAGACGGGGATTCCCTTGAGTTTCTTGAAACCCACTGATCTGATATCAAAGCCAAAGATGTTGGACCAACTGGTGCCGGGAATCATTTTTGCCAGCCTCAGCAGCATTGGCATCTGGCATTCTATCCCGTTGACTGGAGTCACCCCTTCCAACTCTTTCTTTTGGCGCAGTCTTAGCTCCCTGGAAATAGCGTATTCTATTCACGGCTTGCGCCAAGTTCACCCCTTTGTTTTCCCCTATGACGACACAATCTCAGAATACGACCTCCTTCTGCAACTTTCACTCGACGCTCAACACTACGAGAATGCCAGGCTGGCCCTGGAAGACTCGGCTGATGCATTGTCGCTACACTATAACACCCCAGGAGGCATAACGTCAATGTTAGTCCCGGGAGTCCTGGGTGCCACCCCGATGCCAGCCTCGTTCTATTTGAACAACGGCAGTTATGAAGAACAGCAGCAGCTCAGCTCAGCCCAGAGTAATACGCTGAATTTCACTGTCATGACTACTCTCATTTTGGCGATTCTCACAATGCAGACAATCGGCTTTTGGATGACGAATAGCATCAAGCAGCACGTTGAAGATCTACATCTACAATACGATCACATTGTCCGAACGAGCGACATGCAAGCACAATTCAGCATCTTGATGATTGAAATCCAAAAGTTTCGAAGAGAAAATGAACAAGTACGGCCTGTTTTCGTTTACCTGGCCGAGGCCATCACAAACTCCTCGGCTGACCTCCAACATTGTTTGTTGCATGTTGTTGGTATGATGGAAAACAAATACACGTCTGGGATGATTGACATCGAATCCAAATTGGACGAGGTCAGTAGTCAACACAAAAATCTAATGAGAAATACTGAAAGTTTTCCTCAGATTCCAAGACAGTTGGCCTGGCTTAACATACTGATGGCGAAGAACATCTCCAACAGCCTACCTGAAGGATTGGATCAGCCCAATTTGGATTTCAGCAAGAGCCTTACCCCCGAGCAGATGAATAGAGCCTCCAACTACAACACCGCAGAGCAGCCCAACGGAATTCCCAACTTCGAGGGAGGTCTGGGTCTTAAGAATGAAAAGGGAGGCTCATTTAAACCCAATAGTCAGGAGTTGGGCTTGACTTAGGGCACGTGAAGATTCATATCGTCTCTGAATCATAAAGAGCCCTACGACTTGCTTTGCTTTTTTTTTTTTACGCTTGGGATTTTTACTTTTATGTTCAGTGGATTGGGATTGGATGTTTCATTTTGGTTATAGATGGTGCCTTTTGTAAGCGACTGACAATCATGACGTGGTTTCTTCAACAAGATACTTGCGACAGGCATTCTTCAGCATGTTGATCCGTCTCTGTGTATGAATGAAGACTTCTCGGTACATGTCCAGACTCTGCTGGACGACCTCTTGTCGAGTTTTAGTGCCCGAGCAGATCTCAATCATTCTCAACTCCATCTCCTTACGAAGGAACGGCTTGCTGAGAGACACACTATTAGGGAGACCTTCGACAACATTATCATACCCTTCCACAAGGGCAATACCCAAACGGGTCGGGATGAATTCCTGCACTGCGCTGCGGCCACTGCCTCGTTGGTTTATGGCGACGTATTCACGTTCTTTGATCTTGGCAATATGCTCCGCCATCGTGGCATCAGTACCAATCCCGTTGGCATCCATCAGGCCAATAAGCTCAGGCTCGGTCAGATAGTTGGGAGCAGTTGTTTTGCCTTCGAAAATATTGGCTTCTGTGGGCTCGAAGAGCTCTCCTCGTTCAAAGTTTGGAATTTGCTGGCTGCTTTCCCACTTATCGTAGACGTATACATCCAAGTAGTTTCTCTCCAACACGATCAGACCATTCGTGTGGAAGGATTCTTCGCCATATTGAATTTCAATCTCTGTGCCCTGGCCCTTTGCGTCATCAGAACAGCAGGCGAGGAATCGACGGACAACAAATTCATAGACCTTCTTTTCATTGGCATTCAATTGATTCGGTGAGACCCAGCTGACAGGATGAATAGGTGGGTGGGCCTTATCATTGTGGCGGCCAAAGCGAGGGGTCCTGAACTTGCCATCAACGAGTCTAGATAGGCATTAGCATTGCACATGAAGGGCAAGTCTGCTACACTTACTCTCGAGCATATTGACCCCATGAGCTGTCGGGGTATTGCTTTTCGATCAATTTTTTAAGGTCAATTGCTTTGTCGAACTGGTCTGTCTCGGTTCTGGGATAGCTGATAAATCCTTTGGTGTAAAGTGCTTCCGCTACCTTTGTGCGTGTTAGAGATCATCCAATGTGGGAGCTGTTTTCCTACCTTCATGATAGTCTGACTGTCCAAACGAAGAAATCGACTGCCCATCATCTGTAGGTCTACCGTAGTCAAGGGCAACGGCCGCCATTTGCTTGTAGGCTTCTGGCTCACTTTCGTGACTTTGGCTTGCTTTGCAACCAAACACCGCTCCAGCATCATCGTCACAACAGCTCGGTCAAATAAATGCACCCGCTTCCAGAGAAAGTTGACCTTTTTGCCTTCACGGCTGAGTATGACCTTGATGCCCCAAAACGTTTCTGGCTTGAAATTTTGGACTCTTAAGTATCTATCGACAACGAATCCCAAAGTAGGAAATTGGCAGGACCCTAACTTGTTAGTTTGTTTGCTTACGTCTAGAATGAGGGACAACTTACCATAGCTAATGACCTTTTCCTTCAAGGCTGCCACTACTGTTTGTAGTTGTAGAGTCTGTAGGCGGGTGAATGCAGCGCCAATTCGAAGATCCAGCTCGATTCTTGCAGCTACAGCACTGGCCTGATATTCATCGAGATTGACTGGTGCTAGAGCAGCCCGACGAACATGTCTATCCTTAGATCAGTTTGTGTAGACACCAAATGAAATCAACATCACTTACGCGCTTTCTGTGTTGCTGAACTTAGCTCGTTTAACCTCGATCCGAGAATTGCCTGCTAATGCTTGACTACGGACCTCAGAACCAATATGCTCACCTTCGCGATCACAATCGGTCCAAATAAACAGGGCCTTAGAGTACTTGGCTTGGTTCCGGATGTTATCCGCAATTGGGAGCTTGTCCTAGTGAAGACATCAGTATGCAGTCAAAACAAATGCTGAAGATTTTCTACCTTATCAACAAACTCTTGTACAGGAGCCTCAAATAGTGACCCTGGAGGACAGGACATCCAGCCTTTGTACTGGCGGTCAAAGTCCAAGCCAGTCAGATGGCCCACCACGCTGGTCATGGTGACCGAGCAGTTGCCCCAGGCACCACCGAAATTGAAATCAAATTCATAGTTCTTGACATATTGATTCCCACGGATCGCATGCTATGCTCGATGTTAGCTGGATCCACTAGAATTCTTTAAACGGAAACCCACTGTCTGAAAGGCACCTCCCGATAGGTGAGTTGCCACTGCGCGAGCAATGGCAGGCTTCTCGGCCACACACAATATTTTGCGAGCCATAACAAAACCCCAATCTGGATCACATGGGGTTCATAGTGATGGGTGGCCTTGAATGCCCTGGTGTCTGATCACATCTTGTTCTGGATAACCCGAACGCGAAAAGATTGGACGCCTGAGGCATCCAATCCCTTTTTTAGCAACGCTAACCCCAATCAGGCAAAAACTGGCCAACTTACCTAACTCCACTGGAGCAAACGCCTTTGTTTTCCTTTTCCTCTGCGGCATTTTGGTCCTATATAGATTAGCCATGGCATCTTTACCACTTCCCCGCGTGGAGTCCCTTTTGGATTATACATCCTTTCAGCTTACCGTTCTTCCCTACTTGACCCAGTTGCTATGGCTGCCCGACAGCTTGCGTGAAGCTGGTAGCGATGTGTATAGCTTACGAGCTGTCTATCTAGCTACCAACCCCTTCGTCTCTGCTCTTGCTTTCGGTGGAGCTCTGGCTGGTATGCTTTTCATCGCAGCTGAGATCAACCGGAACTATTCACAAGTAGACCGGTTTTGGAGCATTCTCCCGGCGCTGTACAATGTGCATTTCGCCCTCTGGGCTCGTTTGTCTGGCATCCAGACCCAGACTTTGGATACAATCGCTGTCATCACTGCTCTCTGGAGTGTAAGTTGACTCTTCTTCCTGGTCTCTGCAAATGCTGACTTGAACCATGGGATAGGCTCGCTTGACTTTCAACTACTGGCGCAAAGGAGGTTATTCGATTGGCTCGGAAGATTATCGCTGGCAGATCGTGCGCTCTAAAGTGAATAACAGCTTTGTTTTCATGATCTTCAACCTCGGATTCATTGCAATCGCGCAGTCGCTGCTCCTCCTTCTCATCACCGCTCCGACATACATTTTTGTTGTCGCCGCATACAACCAGGGACCCGAGAATTTTGGCCTTCCTGACTTGGCCTTCTCTCGTGCTGCGTTTTTCTTCGTCATCATTGAATTCTTTGCCGACGGGCAGCAGTGGAAGTTCCAGTCTGCTAAGAAAGAGTACCAAACCAACGCGCGTATTCCCGAGCCCTACAAGGACCAATTCTCCGCCGAAGATCTTGAGCGGGGCTTTGTCGTCAGTGGTCTCTGGTCTTGGTCGCGACACCCCAACTTCGTTGCCGAGCAGGCCTTTTGGTTGACCATGTATTTGTGGGCTTGCTACCGCACCGAGACTTTCTTCAACTGGGCCGGTCTCGGCGCTTTGGGATATCTTGCTATCTTCCAGGGAAGCGTACGCCTAACCGAGGCTATTACCGCCGGCAAGTACCCCGAGTACAGTGACTACCAGGCTCGTGTCGGCAGATTTATCCCTCGCCTATCTGTCAAGGCGAAGAAGACCAAGAAGACCAGCAAGAAGAGCACTTAATGTGTTGGTTGTTATATATGCAGGGGATGACGAGAATCTTTGTCATATGGGTGGACGTGTTTTTGCTCTGATTTTCTGCACCTTTTCAGGATCTTTCCTCGAACTACCGATTTTGACACAATGCACACTAATTCAATATGTTCTCCCACTAATCGCTCATTGCAACAAACTGGAAATCTGAGTTGTCTATTGACAGAATTTCTGAAGAAATGGCCACGCACCACAATTCTTTGTGTAGTAAGCAGCTTGCATGCGACATGCCTGTTCTGCTTCGATGATTGGGAAGAGTCCTCTGAATATGCTTAATGCAACATTCGTTCTCTCTTCATGTTCGAATTTCCCCACCAGCTTAGAGACCCAAAACTCCCACTCGAGACTAAGATTCACTAGGATGAATTGGCACCACAGCCATACGTCAGTTTCGTCCCCTCTCGAGTGGTTGCAGTTCTTTTCGCGGCCCTTGTGCTTCCACCCGTCCCCACAGTCTTTCTCTCCGCAGTTACATTGAAATGCTCCACTGCATAACGCCATCTTCTCTGTGTGTATTCCTTCATTGACGCGCGTTTGTCATACCTGATACCCATGACATCGCGTAGGCCATTGAGTGAACACATCATCATAGGAATCATTCTCCTAAATGTCCTCTCTAGAAATTGCCATGCGTCTTGTGCATCTAATGCCTCCAGCGCACATATTTCTTGTCTTATGGACTGTGACGCGTTGCTGAAAATCATCATCCACAGATTCAGGTTGGATTGTATGTGTCATCTACTCAAGTTGCTGTGCGCCGACACCCCGAGGTCAGCATCAGTGATCCACAATCCGACGCACTGCTTAAGCTTCTTCATCCGGTCCGCCGAATCCTTGTAGTTCTCGGGACTGAGCAGCTGTTCTTTCAAACTGTCCGGACTGTAGAATTGAGAATATCGTCACGTGCGAAGGCTGATAGGGCCATTTCATCAAATCCCAATATTGATGAGACTGTTCTAGTGTTACGGTCCTGTATTGGGTAGTATATGTGTCTGGGGCTAGGGTCTATCTGCTTTGAGATGCAGTCGTCCAGCTTGATGCGCTACTAAATATCGAGAATCTGCCGGTTTGCAAACCGCGGAGCTGCTTAATCGCCGGATCATGCCATTCATGATCGAATGCGCGGAAAATATCGTTCGTCCACTTCGTCTCGGTTTCAGGGCCGCTTTTGTCGAGAATTGTGCATTCACTAAGCAGATCCTGACCATTCTCATCTCGAACTTCAGGAATGCGCAGCATCTCTAATGAACAAGGATCCCGGTCTGAAGTTC